TGTTAAATGCTTTTGAGGGGACATTTTTTGGTTTGATTTGAATAACTATTTCTTTATTTTGTATGACGTGTGTTGGATTTTCCTTTTTCTTGTTTGCAGGCTGCTGGGTTTTATTTGGTGGCGTCTGTGTACTTATTGAAGTTTGGGTGTCAATGGTACGTGTTGATTTAACGGCACTGGCATATGATTGTTTATTATGATTTGTTTGATTCAAGCTGTGTGCTTTGAACTAGTCTTCTGGATTCAGCATATGAGATGTTCCTAGTGACTTTTGCCGTCTGTACTTCCTTTTCTGTTTTCCAATTTGGATATGAACGGGAAAATGCTGGATGGTCACCCTTGCAATTTATACACAGTGCCGCAGCAATGCAATTGTTGCTATCGTGGCCAACCAACGAACGTTTAGCGCCCGGCAGGTTCCCACAACAGGCCATCTTGCAATGACCCAAACGCTGGCATTGGAAGCATCTCATAGGGTTTGGAATTTAAGGTCTTATGGGGCAATTAAGATATCCAACATATATATTTATCGCCAGATCAGGCGACTTGAAGGTCAGGATGTCAAGTTTCGTGTCAATCAACTGACCTTCCTTACGCATCTTGATCCGCTTTGCAGCACAAACCTTTTGGTCAGCTAACTCGGAAACAAACTCTTCTTCAGAAACAGACAGAAGGTCGACATCCGAGATTACACCGCGATAATAATTCAATGTCTTATGCTCTGTTACAGTAACATTTTCTTTCCCAAGTTTGGTTATTTGAAGTAAGGAAGCAGACTAGATGACCGAAGTTGCATCAATAAGCAAATCTTCAGAAGGGAGGCGCTTTATATTTCTGGGCTCACCAATACAAGAATGGATGCATTTATTTATCGAAAAGGAGACATCTTTTGCAGTTCGGCAGAAGGACTAAAGACAACAAGGAAACGGGGTCTATTATTAGAATTATTTGCATTTGCATGTATACATACTTTTTAGCAGATTTTTCAAAAGAACTAGCGCTTAGAGCGACGGGACTGACTTCACAGTCTTTAATTAAATATATTTTTGAATGAGCCATATTGAAGAGAGACATTATTCGGACCCAGCAGCTCCACTCACCACGGAGTCCAACAAGGGGACGCAGAAATCTGAGCCAGGGTTAACCGGGTCTATACGCAATCTGAAGCCCCACAGTCAGCTTTCTCGAAAGCAGGAACTCCCGAAAGCTTATCCCCAAGCCACTAACCCTAAGGATGAGTGACCAACCGATTGATACTAGTGGAGACAGCTAAGTGCCTCCCGTTTCGGTCTGAAGCAGAGGCCAAAGCAGTGTGTTGGAGACAGTACCTCACCCCTCAACTACCAGGACCCTCCTTTCCAGCCTTACGAGTCTCCACGCACAACAAACATGTGGGCAGTTTTCTCGTCAAACGAAAACTAGAGACAAGGGCTGTTCCAGTTTCTTGCCTCGAGCCCCAACCTCAGAAGAGGGAAACCGCAAGGGGGATTGGAAGGAAAAAAGTGTCAGGTCAGAGGAGAGGAGATGGAAGTGAGGATAGAGCACTGGGGCTCCAGGATCGTGACACCTGTCTCACCAAGGAGATGATCCCCTGAAGTGCTAGGGTTCTTCAGGATTGCCACACCCGTACTCACAAAAGTTAGCCCCTGAGGGGGGGACGTAGCTTGGAACCAAATCATTAATTATTCTTACGGATGATCTCATGAAATTTAAAAACTCAACATTAGATGAAACTTTAGAAACTCAACATTAGCTGTTACTACGGATGCCTATTCGAAAAAGGACTTTATAGATGCTTCACTACTCATGGACGGGATTAAGTGTACTAATTAATAACAGAAGACTTGTTAAATTAACTCAATTAATCCCTGACGAAAAAGTGACCAACCAGTTGAAAATGGATTTTGAAGAACACATCGTGCTTTTGGTGAAGGACTGATCAATATTTATAAAAGTGCGATTCGTTTTGCGTTCTGAATTAATGCAAATACTAAAAGCGTTAAGTGATATTACTGAATGTTTTTATTGTTAACAAATGATTGTAATGCTCAGAATGCATGTAGTTCTAACAGTGTGAATGTATGTGATGTTAACAAATCTAAACCCAGATGATCTTCTAAGAAATTTTCTAAACGTAATGTTAATGACTACTAGGACAAAGAGGGATTTATTCTCTCTAAAAAACCCTGCTCGCCCATGTAAAATTGTTTAAGTGCAGTGTTGATGTACCGCTTACCAATAAGTTTGAAAAGCAGTCAACTAAAGAATGTAATGTAAGCGATAGTGATGTGCAAATTATTAATGACTATATGGATGTTCAAAATGATCTTGAAAATGCTATTAATGGGGCCAAACCTAAAATTCAACACATCAGGGTTTAACCCGACATTAAATTTAGTGATGTTATGAAAATTTTAGGAAAGGAGGCTAAATGTGAATTTGCGGGCAAGGTTAATGGGGACTTCCTCAAGATCTCTCCCATCTGAAGATGATCAGAGAACTATAACCCTATATTTAGATCTAAAGAAAATTGACCACTATGTGGTATTAGCCAAAACTGACAAACCTGTGAAAGTTGTTTTCCGTGGCTTCCCCATTGATTGCCCAATAGAAGATATTTCTGAAGACTTAATCATGATAGGATATAAAATGCGTCCTGTAGCACGTATGCACAGAATCAAAACAGGGATACGCATACTCTTATTCCAAGTTCCGATGGAGAACACCCCAGGGGTTGCTAGAATATACGATATTACAAAATGTTTAGACTTCTATGTCACTTTGAAAACTTATACTGTTAATAGAAGTATTGTTCAGTGTCACAACTGCCAACGCTTCCATCATTCGTCTGACACGTTCAGATTAAGACCTAGGTGTGTGAAATGTGCAGGACCTCATAAAACTGAAAATTGCTCTGCTAAAAGATAAGATATTGTACGCTGTTCTAACTGCAATCAAATAGGACACACCGCGAACTTTCGCGTGTGCCCTAAATTTTCTATATTGAATGTGTATAAAAAACCTGTTAATAATATGAAAACTAAATGATAATATAAACCCTGTAACAAAAATGTTTCTAATGTTAAAAGTCCTGCTCAGCTAAATACTCACGATGTTAAAATCAAATCATATTCAGATACTGTTGAAAATATTCCTGTTAATAATCCTAGGTTCAATCTTGCTGTTAGAAAAAATGTTACTCATAACAACGACTCAGGAGACTCTGGTCTCAATCTATTATTAGATATCATCAAATTATTCAGAGAATGGGTAAAATGTTTGAAGGAATCTCCCTCAGGGACATTCTTAGGAATGTTACAGCAAAATTACCAGAGATTCAATCTACCACCAATGCGATAGACAAATTATTTATTGTCTTTTCAATATTTGAGGATATCTTTGGTGATGTGCGCAGTAATTAATAGACTCTGCTGACCATGTTTACATGCACTTTATATGTATTTATCTTTTTCTTCGCAATGTTATGTACTTATTATTCCCACCTACAATTCCATAGTTAACTGTATGGTGTAATTTCGATATATGTTGACATCCTTGGTACCTTGCACATATTCTAATATACTCTTATTAATTTTCTATATGTGACCTCATATGTGTTTTTAATGTAGTAATGAGGCATTTATATATTTTAATACAAATTAGTGATTTTTAATGACTTTTGGTAACCATTTATGCATCAATGGATTATATGCTTATTAAAATATAATATGTGTTCCTGCTCTAATTCTTGATAGATTAATACTTTTTCACTGCCTTATCATGGTTTTTCTTATAGTTACACACCTCGCTTGTTCACCAGTTCGACGGCTTCGAGCTTTTCCCATTCGATCTGACCTTAGCGTAATGCTTTCTTTACATTCCCAGCTTGACTTATTACCATAAACTTAAAAATTATTTAAAAAAAACTTATAATGTATATTTTTAGGTTATTACCTTCTTATCATTCGAAATTTTCAATCTTTCTACAAGGGATGGGCTTATGCCCAGGTGCCCTGATGTCGCGTCGCAAACACCGTTCAACTGGAGGAAAATAGCTTATTGTTAGCGCTGTAGCATTCTACTTGTCATGGGGAAAGGAGAACGATTCCAAGAGAAATTCGTACACACCAGGGTTTTTGATGTTTGAGGAAAATATATGTGTATTCTCCCATGGTAGAGTAAGAGAAAAGAGGAAGAATTTTAAAAATGTAAACTAAAAGATGTGAGGCTATTGAGGTAGTTAAAAGGAAAAGGAAAAGAGACCTGAAATAGAGTTGAGAAAATCTTTTTATACTTCTAGGAACATATTTTTAGTTTGGGAAGTTTCTAGAGGTGCAAAGAAGGAATGATTTATCTCAATGAATCAATGGTCAATACATCTGTGTTTATATTAAAACAGCTAGAGACAAGTAGAGAAGATAAAGGAAGAAGGTGTGGAGGGTGTCTAACGAGCAAAATACTCAAGAGGAATGCAGAGACATCTGACAAGGAAGAGAAGATATACGAAAATTAGTTAGGAACGCCAGATGGTACATCACTCGCTACAATGCATATATTGAGCAAAAATTTAAAAATTTAGCAAAATATGTAAGGATAACTATCAAAGTCTCATAGCAAGATTGTGCGCATGTTAGTTATTTTAAAGCCTATATAATATTCTGATATGTATCTTTTAGTGGAAACTTCGGGAGAAAATTTTAAAGATATTAAGTAAAAGAAATATGCAAACATATAGGTATCAAGAAAATGTTGGTTAAAATCAGGTTTTATCACTATCACTTCAAAACTTCAGAAATTATTTGTTTTATTTGTAAATTTTAAAAGCTTAAATTTATCATTGCCAAAGAAAGTGTTATTTCTAGCTGTGTCTGACTTCGCAAAACATTGTGATTTTACATTCTGTAAGTTTTTAACTAAAACTAATACGTTATAAATTCTTTTCTGTGTGGTTCGAAAACGTAATACTTCTAATAGATAGGAGTAAATAAAAAGATATTAAAATCATGAAAAATTGTTTCAATCTTTATTTAAGCAACAGAAACGTTTCGTAGATTTTCGGTTAATTAAAACTTATGCATGAAACTCATGAGCTCAGCTTTGCAATAACAGCAAATTACAAATAGGAGTATCGTATTAACATATTTTCTGAAATGCGGATTTATTCATTTGTACCTTCAAATTCGGCATCTGATTTTTGAATTCATAAATGAATCTTTCGGACAGTTGAAGTCCTCAGCAAATTCTGGTAGGTTAGAGAAAGATCCTATCACTCTGAAACAGAAAACAATATCGTTTAACATGTTTTTGTAGAATATTTTTGTAGAACTTTTTTTAAATGTATTGAGAAACCTATTTTTCATTAAGAACGAGGTATTAACCGTTCTAAATAAAAGTTGAAATTTTGAATATATAGGTGTTAAATATTTAATAGTATACAGGTAAAATAGCTTTAAAGCATTTCTGAAAAATTATTGAAAAATTTAAAATTTCACTTGCCTAAACTGTGCTAGGCTGTGTACATCTTCCTTTATACGTTTTGCCTCAGTATCTGGCGAGAGTTTCTTGCACATTACCTATATGAAATCAATGTAATTATTGTATACTCGTAATATAAATGCATCTTTCAATACATATGAGAATGGTTATGAAAAGATAAATTTGAAGAATGTTTTATCAACAATTGGCCATAAAAAATACTAAATTTAAAACCTAGTTGGAAATAGCTTTATAAGATAAAAATTAAATATTTAAAACAATTCAGTAAAATTTCGGTAAAATATACGCTTATAAATAAGCATGTAATGCTATCGAAATCTTACTTGAATAACATATTTTTGAAAATTTAGAAGTTTTTTAAGTCTATCGTCGGGATCAAAATTTCTGAAATATTCCGTGCTTAATAAATATTCAATAGTATTCCAATTTATTCTCATATCCTTAAAAGAAATTTATTTTTAAAGGGAACTGTAGAAATCAGGATACACATGCAGAAAACCACGAAAATCAATCATGCAGCTAGCCCATTCTTCTGGGACAAAATCCTTTCCTTCGATACGGAATTTAAATCAGTATTCGAACTCTCTTGCGAAAGCTGTGGATCATCTGCTTCTTGCCCTTTTATTTTTCAAATTTGACGTTCCATGTGTTGTTTACTTCTATTTATATTAATATTGTATTTCGAGAGGAATCAGTGTGAAAGAGAAGATTAATGAATGTACAATTAAATGAAACAAATCTGAAAGGTTTAAGATTTTAAATTATGTACCAAGGGGTGTTTTATTAACGTTTTGTGGCCTACCTTAATTTGTTAAAAATCATGTTTTTTGCACTTAAACCATAAAATTCAGTTCAACAGCAATGTCGTAAAATAATTTCAAAACGAACATTTCTTTGAAATTTCCAATACATAGTCCGCGCGCAGGAGATAAAAAGGTTTTTCCCCCCGTACAGTGTTGCCATGTTACTTTAAATGTTCGTTTGTTAGCAACATGCGTTCCAGGTTTACAAAAGAAAATTATAAAAAAAAATTTCAATTAGGCTGCAAATGCCAGATTCGCAAGTGGAACGCGGCAAAATGGATGGCTGTTGTTTTATCACAAACGGAAACACATACATTTATGGAGATTCATTCCAACAATTTTAAAGATCGAAGGATGGGATAATACGGCTAACCCTCCACACAAGATATGATCTCACTTTATACCTCACCTTACTCGTGCACGATGTGGGCTGAGGGGCAACTCATATCAGGAAGAAAAGCACCATTAGGCTAGGCAGTTTTCACACAGAGGTCTAATAAGATTTCATTTCTATATCCTTCAGCCGTCACCGAATCATTATTGAAGATGCGAAGCTAGGAGAGTACCCCATTGACATTTCACCCATATTATGAAGTTGGTACTGTAATCAAGAAAACTCCAGATTTCTTCTCTCGGAAATTACGGGTTTCAAAGTCAACGTCTTGGCCAATTAGGGAGTTAATTATTAAACTTTAGTGGAGAGAAAAACTGAAGTTCGTTTATTCAAAGAACACACATTTATAGCAAAAGAATCATAAAGGATTAATAAAGTTGATAACAGGGATCCTACTAATACGTACGTGTATTTAATAACGATAAAATACTAGTTAATTGCTATGAATGAGCCCCAGAACAAACACATTATTTTTAGACAGTTTTATTTGTTACTAAAACGCTACAACACATTTTAAGACGTGATCTGGGATTTATAAAGGAAAACAAAATTATGTCCCTTCAAAGAAATTTCTTAAAAAGTACTTGCCAATTTTCTTTTGAGATGAAGTTTGCTGGAGTAACTTGTGCACACTAATTCATTATTCTAAGCAATTTTTACTTAAAATGGCTTGTAAAGTAATTAACCGAATATTATGCTTTCCAAAATATTAAAAGTGCATAAACGAATTAATCCTACTTCTATAAGATGAAATGATAAACTGCAAATATATTATGTCTTTATGATGATAAGTCTGTCTCCCGATTTAGTACTGGCATTATACAAAACATTTATTCTTTTCAAAACACACAGTGCAATTAATTAACTAAAGCCTGTTAAAATGTTTGACAATTGTTAAAAAAGATTTCAAATTGCAATGCAGCGTAACGTCAAACGGACATGGACGTTAAACAGGATAAAACATTATTGCCACACTGTTCTGTCATAAATGTAAAGATCATTTATTGTTCGAGAAAAAGCAGAAGGTCTCGAGACATTTAAAAATAAAAAAAAAGCTTTCTTTCGATTCTTTGTAGAGAGATATGGAAAATACGTATCAACTGCTGCAAGCACCTTTGGGAATGGTATCAATACGGCTTCCATCCGCCGTGGATTGCAATGCAACTTTTCGCCCTTATTATCATGCTTTGCATGCTTTTTTCAGGAACTGTTGAAGGTAATTGATCCCACTGCTCTGTCATTTCAAGGACTAGGATTTTCTTGGTTATTGTATGATATTTTTAATCCAAACGTCGCCTCTACAGAGCATCTCAAACATTTTCAGTGGGGGTTTGGAGTATGTAACGTGATGACCAAACGAGGCGTTAAATGGCCAGGCAGTCTAGACAATTTTGAACAGCGAGTATTCAATGACATAATGAGTTTTCCATGAAATTAAATTTATCAACAAAAGTTCTACGTTAAAGGTGAAAACGAGGCAGTAAAACTGCATCAATATATCGCTGTCCGGTCATAGTCCCAATTGCAACCACATGTGCAGCCACTGATAATGATTCCAGTCCATACTATGTTACCGCATCTGGGATATTGGTTCCTTTCATGAATATTTTCTGGATGATAACCAGTACCTCACTCATGTCAGGCGTCTACAATTTGATGACAGACTATACTTACTCTTATCTGAGAAAAGTACGCAAGATCAGTTCCATTTCTTTTAATTGCAGTGCTCACAACAGAGCTGCAAATTGACAACATAGTGCTGCCTGAGCAATGGGACATACACTACAGTCATTTAATCCTCCTTCTTTCATTCGTCTGGCAGCAGTTTTCAGAAGATCCACTATACTGTAGCAACAAGAAACTGATTCGCAATCTGATGAGCTGTGCTGCGCCGAGTTCTTTTGCCGATAAGGCAACGTACCTTTCTCCTGTAAGTATTGTATGTCTAACATGATGTCTCCTGCGATAATGGGTTACACTGCCCTGCTCTTTTAAATCTCTTTCTTATTTCTACAGCCGTGGACCGAAAGCTGTCGGCGATGTTGAGCTCCTTAATAGCATCTGTTAATTTTTGCCCTTCTTCGATCTTTACAATGATATGATTACGCGTAAAGTTATTTAAATGATGTCTGTAAGATGTACCGAAGCTTTCAAGATCCTCAATTAAATCTTTCCAATGAAATGTTTTCATGTGCCAACAAAAATCAATTCCTTTAAGTCTTTTATCAGAGCGTGGTGAACAGTCCACCAAGTGAAATTTTGCATACGCTTACTTCTTCTTTCTTTATCTTGTGCTTATTCTAATTGTCTGAATTGTGCCTTCTTTCATCCTCTAGTTGTTACAGATAACCGCTCTTAGTAATTGCCCAGCACTGTACTTCAGTCATTTTTAATGGTAAAGTATTCTCCGTTAATCGAAAGTTGCTGGTGCCGACTAAGTCTATTCATATGCATCTACTGAAGGCAGATTATTGGCTGCTGTAGTCTGCTATTTTAAATATTAAGTTACTTATGTAAAAATAAGGGTGAAAGGATTATAAGACCACCACTGAATTATTAATATAGACAAAAGTAAATTAAGAAAGAGTAACACTTTAATGCTCAGGTGGCAAAGCCTTCGATTGTACTTCCAGGTTCGGGAGACAGAAGCAATACTTATCACGTTCCATAAACTTCCTAATGTCTGATTCAGCTATAATATTTTAACATAATCATATGAACCGCATTAATTTTTTATTTTGAAACAAAATTATCTTTTTATGAATACCGTAGAACCTTTTTAGCAGACATTTATCTCAAATTACTTCTACTATTAAGTAATATTTAAGTCATCTCATGTAATTAATAAGACTTACATTGGCTGCACTTATCCAGAATAACTGATTTGGCGTATACTTCAATCCCGGCAGCACTGGCTCCCTTCCATTATCTCTAACCCATGATTGGTAAGCCTGTATGGAAAAAGCAACAAAAGATAATGTAAAAAAAAATATACACTTGAAATTAAAAACTGAAATTTCTAAACACAATTAAATGAAAACAGCAAGAATATTTTACAATATTGCTTAATTAATTGTATTGTACTTAAATTACAAAAGTAAGCTGTATATTTGTTAAATTTAAATTTTTAGTTTTTTATGGCCTTTTTAAATTAGGTTATAAAATTCAAATAAAGAAAACTCAATTTAAATAAAGGAACGTGTATTGCAATAAACTGGTAACGCATGCGCAGGAAGCAAGCGAATTTTGCATTTAAGAAACTTCAGTGCTATATTAAGGTTTGATATTATACATTTCGTCAACAGCAAAGGGAATTTATTTCTTCCACCTTTGGTAAAATTTTTAAAGTAAATTGTTTGCTTGCTTTTCTAGAGTAATGTTTCAAAGCTTATGTCTTAAGATTCATTGTATAGGTAAATATAAACTATTGAATCCAGAATGTATTTTCATATTTGCCATCCTTTCTCAAAATACATAATTTGTAGCATACTGAAAATTCTTGTACACAAATTTCTTTGATGGTGCTAGATAAAACGAGTAACCACGAACGTAAGAATGACGGAAGGAGATTGCGAATTGTCGGTAGATTGGAGCTAGGCTAATCATAAGCGCAGGTGGTAATAGAGTTCAGAGAACGCCCGTGTCATCTGCAACTTGTCGAACAGTTTCAGAATATTAGATCCATATCGACAATACCAAATAACACTGCAAAAGGTGTAGAACTAGGAATGAGGATCGTTATTCAGAACTTTCAGCGCGAGAACAAAGGATTGCAACGACTTTACGTTTCTCATTCGAGCTGTAAGCTGGAACTGAGACTCAGGTTTCACGGTCTCCAGCTGCTCAAAGGCTTTATAAGATAGCGCTGTATGCCAGAAGCCCTGCCGTTTGCATTCTGCCTACCGCAGTACACAAGAGAGTGTGTATAGTGTGGTGCAGACAACATACGCCTTGGATCAGATTTCAGTGGAGCAACGTGCTTTTACAGATATGTCGAGATTCAGCTTGGACACAGATTCTCGGCGTACCTGTATCTGGAAACGGTCTGGAACATGATACCATTCCTCCCTCATCAAGGAAAAGGATCATTACAGTAGTGGATGTGTAATGGTTTGGGCAGGGAATATGTTGGAAATCATTCAAGTATATAAATATGTATCAGCATATATTATTATGTAAATGTATATCAGTATGGAAATACGTAAATACCTGTTTAGTGTCTTTATGATATAAGTGTATTAAAGTATCAATACAAGAGCGCATCAAGTAAAATATCAGTTTAAAAGTGCATTACAAACACCAGTAAAAAATGCTTTCAAGTATTTCACTACCAAACGCTATTAAAATTATTTTTTATAATGCATGAGTGTTTAAATATGCAGCGAATATGGATGTCTTCAGCGTAATTTTATATTCAGACACATGAACAGCAGTATGAAAAATGCAGAACATTTAGTAAAGTTTGAACTTGATAAGTGAAAATCTAGTGCCGTATAAGTATATATACGAATATTTGTAATCCAGATCCTAAATTAATTGTATTAAACTATAATGCGGTGAATATGCACTAAGTTTGTGAAGAACAGTTTTTTTGTTCGGAAGGAAATATTACAATAGTACTTTTTAATTATGTGTATAATAATATAATACACATTCTGTACTGTTTTTAACGTGTTTTTTTGTTTATTTGTGCATTTCTCTTTGGTGTGCCCATTGTGCACTTAATATGAATCTAAAACTGTACTGTCCAACTATAATTAAGAGCTTACAGGAGTTCTTCTGATAACATGATAGCTCGTATATAATTAACAACCCTTCGTCTGAGAACTGTTGCTGTTGGGTGAGAATTGCTAGAGACGGGCGTTTTTTACCCGCACTAGATTTGTGAGGACATGAAGCAAAACTACATAACTGTTTGGTAGAATGACAGCATATGCGGCTCTCGTCAAATGTCTACTGAATTTTGTGCTGTTTTCACTTTTCTACCATCATTATAACATCTGTTGTCAAACGTCTATCGTATGCAGTGGAAGTTTTACGACATATCGTTTTCAGTCTTACATATAATACGATGACATTCATCATATAACAAAATAATTATTCCATATTAACTCTGTTTGCATTTTGGCACCTTGTTTGGGAACTATGGGAGAAGTGACACTGAAAAAAGATCACATTTTTTGGACCCAGTTTTTATTCTTTAAAAATATTTTTGCTAAGGAAGAAGAACTTATCGTTAACTGAGATATAACCTGAAATGAATGTATTTCATTTGCCCTTTTGTTATTATTAGTGTAAAATACAAGTGCTACACTAAATCAAAAAAAATCTGAACATTCTTAAAGAAATTTCTTATTTAAATATTTAAAAACTTTTATTTCAGTTTTTGAGATGTCTTTGATTCTCCTCCGGAAGCCCTGCAAACGTTTTGAATAGCCAATGAGTAGTAGCTTTTTTGCTGCTAGGCTCTACTTCTCTAGCTCTGGAACAATTCAGTCAAAAGTTAAAAAGATGTGCATGTACATAGAAGACGAAACGTGTTTACTATTTTGTTCGAAAAAGAAACTATGAGACTGGAATACTTAATTATTGATTTGATTTAATTATTGTCTATGAGCTAATTATTGCTATTGTTTGTAACGCTATAATTCTTAATAAACGCATTCCTGGAATTTATGTACTACTAATTACAAAAATGCATCTATCAAAATGCTGCACCCACCACCATGTTTAGTTATCCTGACTGGAATACAGATAAAACCGGGTTGGGGGTGTTCGTAAGCGTATAGTGTCTATAAGGAAAGAAGGGACTCAAAACACACGGCAAGCCGTAGGTCCTTTCAAAAGGTTGTCTTAGAGAGAGTCCCAAGGACCGCCTTCCTGGCTGTTCCCACTCAAAATTGGGGGCGTAACACATAGGATTATACTTATACAACCAGTGATGGAATTGAGTTGTCCCTCCAGTTTCTACGTCTACTTGACTTCAGCTAATAACACGTTTACGAAAATAAGGAAGAATTAATTTATATCCAAATCATTTTTGTGTTGCTATAATCTATTCAAGTCAAACTTATTCTATTCTTTCTTAGCTTTTTTTTTTCAGTATAACTTATGTCCCTTGATCTTTTGGTACAACATAATGAAAAAGCAGTAAAAAAACTAAACGGTTGTAGAGCCATTCGGAAGCAGGGCAGATTAAAAATATGCAACGCTTTTGCCAGGAATTGAACCGCGGACCTCTGGAATACACGTGCAGACCACCACACCACGGAGGCATGCCAAGAAGGCGGGAGAAATTCCTTATATACGCCCCGTTTTAAAGTTTTTAGAGGACTCAATCGCCAAATCATGAGTGTGGAGAATCATCATCCACCACTCTTTTAGTTCGGGCGCCAGTGTAATCGCATAATTTATTTTTGGAAGCAAGCAAGATGAAAAATATGCAACGTCTTCGCCGGGAATCGAAACACTGATCTCTGGAATACGCGCTGAGCGTGCAGACCTCCATACCACGAAGGCATGCCAAGAAGGCGGAAGAAATACCTTATATGGTAATAATTTGAAAATTCATATTCTCCAAACAGGCCGGAGCATGACAGTTTTGTGGTTTTCCCATGTGTAACATTAATTTTAACAAAGGTTTCTTTCCTGAAGGCATCCTTCAGCTTAGCTGTGCCATATTCCATGTAATCCAAATAATAGTATATAATCGTATTTGTGCACTCGCAGCAAGTGCCGCATTTGTTTTATTCTTATTCCTGCCTTTAAACGATACTTCATCTTTTTGGTTGTAAATATTTTAAAGCAGATAAGGTCATTCAGATTTTGCACGTTACTTCTTCTGCATATTTCTTAATAAAAAAGCTAGTTGAAGGAGGAAGCTTGAGTTCTATCGCAACTCTAAGCGACATAAATTCTAAAAATAAAGAGAAATAGCTACATGTAACTGAACAGAGCAACAAATGCTGATGAATTTGCTGCTGAACAAAAGACGAATATTTTGAGTTAAAATCGCTAGTACGGGAAATAAATCTAAAAGTACAATAGAGAATTCAATAAAATTTTATTCTGCAGAATATATCTCATTTGATCCAAGGACCCTCATACTGAGTTGATTCATATTTTAATCTTTATGGGGATAAATCGAAAGAGCTTAGCAGAATATTATACGTATGAAAATCCTTTATGTATTCTTGAAAGTACTTACTTAAAATTTCTAATATTTTGCAAGTTGATAAAAATCGCGAGATATAGAGTTGCTCCAAACATAAAAATATTGCATAATTATAAAGCAAGCAACAACATAAAAATGAAATAAAATCTCACAAGGTAAGAAGTATACATAGCGCCAAAAAATTGCAATAACATAATAAAAATTTTAAATAACAAATACATGAAAAAACACCAGAACACAAAAAAATTTTAAAAATATGCAGCAAAACAAGTACAGGCTTTCAGAATCATTTACAGAACATTTCTTACCTGATAAGCTAGCTGGAAAGCTATGTTATCAGCTATATCTTCTTTGTGTGTTTTTTTACTGTCCATCTGTCAAAGACGCAATTATTTTAATACATATTCCGAAGTTAGTTTATTTATAAAGAAGAAAAATTGCAACAGTTGTTCAGAATAAGTTCATTTTTTAAAACTTCGCGGGAAATATTGTTGTAAGTCTGAAAAGTTATTTGAGACGTTCGTAAAATAATAAATAACAAGAAGTTCCAAACCTAATCCAATTATTTACTAAAAGCTATAACAACTGAAGCAAAACCTGACATTGCAGCTTTCAGCGCATAATTGCTTTAAAATTAGAACTTCGATTACTTTTTATTTATATTTTTTATTATTTCACATACATGGCCTGCAGCTATTACAAAATATTTGCGCATATTACGAAAGAAATTTTAATGTTATACTTATTTAAAAGCATTTACATAACCTATTAAGGTATGTATAGATTGCTTTGAGAGAAAGAGAAATTCTAATAAAACAGCTCAATGATTAAAATTTCCATAATTCCATAAGAAATTTCCTCAAGACTAACGCGAGCTAAATTCTCGACACATATTGTAAGAATCATTTTTAGTTGGAACTGTGAGGAACTCTTGTCGTTAGACAGAAAACGTTACGTCGGAATATATACCAAAATCATTTGCTTTAGTCTTCTCAATGAGCAAGAATTTGCAAAGACAACAAAAAAGCTTAGAATCAAAGATTTGTACTATAAAAAATATTTTCACTTGATTTTCGATTAATTCAAGTTTTATTACTAAACTAACTGGGCCTATTATATTGTACTACGTATTATATTTTCAACGCTGACTGAAGAATTAAATCGTAAAGTATAAAGGCAAGGAGAGTCACATAAAAGTAACAAGTAAAGGCAACAGATAAAAGCATAGTGGTTAGGAAAGCCTACTACAGTTCCGAAGGGCTCGGGTTCGAATCTCGGAGAATAAATGGATGTTTGTAAATATATAGTGTCGGTGCGGCATGGTGGCACTCTAAATATGGAACGAACCGAAAGTCTTCTGGTGTGGATCGATGGAAGTGGATAGGCGTGGGAGACTCCCGAATTCCCCCCCAGGGGGTGCTGTCTCTCAAAATTAGGGTTGAAAAATAGAAGTCCAACCTCTCCTCAGAGCAGGCTCTGGCAACCATTGTTCCGTGTAATATGGGCACCAAAACAACAGCAAATGAAAGAAATTTATAAATTTTCATAATATCTCTTTTTAACATATTGGGTCATATAAAAAATCTACGCGCTTTTTTGCCACTAGATGCTATAGATGCTATATATCCGGCAGCACTTTTCCCCCGATTGTTTCAAACGAACATGAGCTTAAAATGTGATATTCAGTTTCTATTATTTGTGAAAATAGTTTTCTAATTTGTTGCTCGTGTGAAAAGTTATATTGATTTGAAATTGAGTGAAATACCTGAAGAAATACGGTATGTGATGCTTTTTTACTATAAAAAAGGAAAAAACACTTCAAACCATGCCGAAAATTTTGTGAAGTATACAATGAGAATGTTCTGAGTGAACGAAGGACCCATCAGTGGTTTGCTTGATTGCATTCCTGAAATTTCGATGTCGAAATTGGAAGGGAATTGTCCATTATGAGCTGCTGCAACGTGGCGAAACCATCAAGTTGGCCTTGTACTATACACAAGTCGACCGTTTGTACGAAGCAGTCAAGAAATAACGACCAGACAATAGAAAGGGAGTTGTGTCGGGGCCCGGCCTTTTCCCTCCTATTACTATGAGCGAGGAACTGCAAATACACAAAGATGTGTCTGTGGAGCCATGGGCCAACCGAACCGTTACTTGACCCAATGGCCTTCTAACCGCACAGTGGCATGTGCAGCTTCCAGAACAGGCAGTTCCTCATAAACGTTATCTGATCAAACAGCCAGTATTTCACAGCAAAATATGCAAGATAATAAAGAAACTGGAGGAATTGGGAACATACTTGTGCAGTGCGGAATAGATCACAGTCAATCTCTTTCTTTATTTATTTTTTCCCCTTCAGATTTAGTAAAGATCAGCATTACGTAAGCGCTGTATATATTATGAAACATGTATGTTATATGTATTATGGCCAATGAAAATTATTATGAATTATGCATTGCGTAAGTACGGTGTATATTATGATACATGTATGTATTATGGCCAATGAAAATTTAAACATATATTATGAAAAATGATCAATGTATTATGAACTATGTCTAAGCATGTATTACGAAACAGGATCTATGTGTTATGAACTACTTGTATGTAAGCATGTACTGTTAAATATGTCTATTATGAACTATGTAACTATGTAAACATATATTATGAACTATGTAGCATGTTTTATGAACAGGATCAATGTATGCCCTTATGGAGCCCATGAGGTGTTGCCCCGGATAGTTGCGGAGTCTGGACTAGACCGAAATAGTCTAAGCCGCACGGGTGTTCAGACTCTGCTCTCAACTCAACTCATCATGACAATGCGCGGCTTCGCACGTTTTAGATGACTCGGAACAAACTGACGGTACTTGGAAGTTTTGATGCACGCACCGTATAGCTCGGAATTTGCAGCATCTGACTACCATTTGTTTCGGTCTCTGCCAAACTGTCTTAATGATAAAAAATTGGCCGACCGAAGCGCCGCTGAAAATCACTTGGCCAAGTTTTTAGACTATAAACCACAGAAGTTCTACACCGATGGACTTATGAAGCTACCCGAAATATGGCCAAAGGTCATACATAATAATGGTCAATATGTAATTTCTTAAAACTGATTTTCAACAAAGACAATTTTTGTTCAAAAATGTACCAAAAAAGCTCAGAGACCTTTTGATATGACCCAATATTTCTTAAGATTAGTACAGATTGTAACAGTGCATTTTTTTATCGTAATAAACAATCTCATTTGCTAATGAAGACTTTCAAAGAACTTACATTAATTAGTCAGATCAGAGGTCAAATGATATGCTTATGTCTTATAATGCGCTACGTCTGTAGGAAAATATGCAGTTCTGGTACACCATAGTAGTACACGGCAACTATTAAGTGGTAGCTTAGTTGCTGAATCCCAATGAGTATAAGCTTGATTTTTCATACTTCCTGCTTTAGATAAACTAAATCCTGAAATGCGTCCGAACTAAAATACACTAAACGATAAATTTTCCCTCTTCGGATCGGTAGGCCGTGTGTCAGCTCGTTCTCCAGCTGCTTTTAAAGTTGGGAAGCAAAAAAGAGTAAAAAAACAGCATCCGCCTATTCAACAATACTGCAGTATAAATGTTTAAATGCATCAAGATAAAACCTGGGCGATCCGTGTTCTGGCGACCGAGCAGTTAGTATTTTATGTTTACTCTTTCTAAATATCTATTAATCTTTATTACTAAACCCTAATTAAGTGCTATTTAGTACGCATATAAATGGAATTCTGCTGTGTGTGAGGATAAAGAATTATATTGATAAAAATATAGCTATTCAAACAAGCGGTTAGACAGTCAGGCATAGACAAAGAGAAAGAGTACCGTGATATCTTATGGATGGTTTATTTAATTACGGCACAGCACTCAAAGGCTGTCTGCCCAACGGCAGGAATGCCTTCGCGGAGGACGTTCCAATTGGATCGTATACACGTTAGACGTGGGGTAAACCACGAAAAAACCCGGTTACAGCCGAAAACATCGCGGACGAAAACGTCGCGGAGAAAACAACGCAAGGAAAAAACGTCGTGCCACAAAACATCGTCGTCGAAAATTAAATTTAGTCGTCGTCGAAAATATCGTTGTAAAAAATAAAATGTCTACAAATGATCGCATGACGATAGCATCGCAGACGTGCTTTTTTCAGGTTTTTAATAATTGGGATTATTATGGGAATATTAAACCTGAAATTAATAATTTCAGGTTTAATATTCCCATAATAATTTGTGAGCGCAAGATGTGAAGAAGGATAATTTTTACTTTCACACTTTTTTATAAACTAATAAATTTTTGCTGAGAAAATAAGAAAACTTGCATAGAAAATTAATGCAACTTATAGCACTTAATAGAATTTTAAAGCGACATAGTTAACTTAAAAAGGCCATTAATAAATGATTTTTGTAAAGTTTTTAATGGTAATTTTTCATGAAAAGTATAATCTATGAGTTGCATTTAATTTTCTATGCTTAAGTTTCCTTCTTACTTTTTTAAGCAAAGATTTATTAATTAATAAAAAAATGTGAAAGTAAAAATTATCCTTCTTCACATCTTGCGCTCACAAATTATTATGGGAATATCCATTTACAATTATTAAAACCTGAAAAAAAAAGCATGTGTGCGATGTTATCGTCATGCTATGATTTGAAGACACTTCATTTTTTATCACGATATTTTCGACGACGATGTACCAAGATGTTTTAGAACTGCGATGTTTTCTTCCACGATGTTTTGTAGCGCGGCGTTTTTGCCTTGCGTTGTTTTTTCCGCGACGTTTTCGTCCGCGATGTTTTTGCCGCGATGTTATCGGCGGACACCAAAAAACCCAAACAGCCAGCCTGTTTACTTGGATTAGAGCCCCGGATCGGACTACCAGTGTTCAGAGACTTTACTCTCGGCATCCGGTGGACTAAATTTCTTACGTATTGTTCGAAGTGCAGAAAATAGAGGAAAGAACCTATATTTATCTCACCTTCTTTTCACTATAAACAGAATAATTTGCATATTGCTCCAAGAAACACTTGGTTTTTAATTTGAAATGTTCATTCGTTTCGTTGCTCCACCCGTTGCCGATAATATTAAAATGTTCATCGAATATTTGACCTGTAACATAAGCATCGCTTGTGTAAATGATTGATATAAAGAACTCTATGAATAATATCAAATACGGAACTTCTGATTTAAAATATAAATTTTAATATAAAAATATTATTTACCCCTTAAGAGACAAAATGAATTTTATCCATTAAAAAGACGCATTAAGTGATAAATATTCTTTGACCCTTAATGGGTCAAAGAATATTTAACCATTAAGGGACAAAAACTTAGACTTAAATAAGTAAAAAACGAAAGAAGATGTATAAATTTGCCTAGCGTTTTCGTAGTATACAACATTTATTTACCTAGTAAATGAAGCAGCTTTAGGGGTACTTATCAAAATGTATTTAAAGGATTTGGGCAATAGTGTGACATTAAAAGTTTCTCGAAAATAATATATGCTTGCATGCCCAAAAAAATCTCACAAACGCATAAAACTCAGCTAAAATACTGCAAGAATTTTCATAAGACTACGGCTTGCACTGTTGAACTAATTTCCGAAGCGTGCTGTCCGGTTCATAAAAAACAGCATAAACGTGCCTTATATTATGATCATGGTATTAAGAGGAATCTAGGATCCTAGTGTTAAAACATTATAACGTAAGGTTACAAACGTTTGCATCAGCAAGAGTCACTAAAAAGTTTGAAATTATAAAATTATTAGGTAATTCATTGTATTGTTTTTAATTTAGGAGTTTAATAATAATGATTTATTTATTTATTTGTGAATTTATATTATTATCACATTTCGGGAAAATGTAAGTTTTTCAGTAAAAACAAAAAATGGAAATGTTGCAAAAAATCATTCCCTCTAAGTAAAGCCTTAAAGTTGGGTTCTTCAGGTAATAATAAATAAATAAATACATAAATAGAAACATTATTTGAAAGATAACATCTTTGTAATTTCAATATTCTCTTTTTTCATTCTTTGTCTTATCCTCTTAACTACGGTGTTAATATATGCTAATGTACGTCTCGGCGTCCATGCTCAAGGTACTAAAATGGCTTAGCTGTGAAACTTTTGGCACAGAGTATTTTGTTTTAAGACTTTATATGTTATTAACATGATTGTTTTGACTAATCCGTATAATAAGTTGTTTACGAAACCGTCAATGAGCTTAGCTTTCGGAATATCTTTGAAAAGTGGTATTTTAAATAACATTTCTAATAAGTGCGGCTTCAAAGTTAATACAAAGTTATCGCGGCTATAGGTGAAAAACATGATCTACAATCGTGCTTATAAGATTCATTTTTCTATTGGACACCGTGTGTAAATACAATTAATTAAAAGTCTTTGTTGATCATCAGTATCATATCCTGCGTTATTCATCAAATTCATTTTCATCGTTTGCAAAATACATTTTATCTTATCCTCAAAATGAACAACACTCTGATGCACAAAAGAAGATTTTAATATAATTTCACTCTACAAGATATACACTTACATGCTGAGAACGGCTCCAGCTCTGTTTCATTTTTACTTTGTTGAGGTTAGGTTACAGTTTAGAATTTTGCTTCAAATTATACGTTTTATGTACACATGTTCTTTGTAACAAGTTTTAGAATTTGATAAGTCAAAAGCTTCTCATTGTTAAATTATTAGCTATATTACTCAATCGTTTTAACTGCACGTAGTTTGCTCTGACAGTAAATGTAGTGGCAGTTTTTTAATATGTCGCGTTATTTCAGATTCACATCTTGCTCAGGGAGTACATTTATTATGCTATTTAAGTTGTATTGTACAGCTCAGTGCCTCTTGTTGACAGGAAAGTCATTATGTTTGTTATTTCTTTGAGATGGTTGTTCTTGATATCATTACTTGAAAGAGAACTATTTCTTTTCCTGAGTATAGAATTTTTAGTTGATGTTCAGCTGCGAGGAAGCACATAAATACGTAATGTTAAAGGTTGCCTTTTTCATCGCATGCAAGTTAATCTGACGCAGCTACGTTCCTTGCATAAACGTACGTAGAAAAAGGACCATGTTTCATTATGAACGACGTTATCTCTCTTGTTATTGAACTGAGTGCAGTGCTTACTTTTGGAAACAGTTGGTAAATCCCTCTCCTTTGTTCGATGGTGTCCCACTAGATCTGCATTTTACCCTACTAGATTCGAAGGTAATGAGTTTCTTGAGGTCCAAGCCAGGCCATAAGTTCTGTGTATTTTAATCACTACCAGTTTATTTGTCCAGGATGCCAGCCTCAACGTTATCTTTTGTACTTGCATGTGCTTTTTGATTTTGTGAAATTGAAGTTCTTTCTGTAATATCATGGATTACTTCTGAGATGCGGTACGGGCTCGCGATGGCGTACGTTGCTGAAAGATACTCTGTGAATGCATATGATGCTTTTAGGACGTTTTATTATGCTGTATTTTATTGCTTCCAGAAGCGATACTGATTCCGCCTGGAATACCATGTTTTGTTCCTCTAAGTAACATTCGTTTGTTCGACATTTCAATTGCTGAGTTAAAGTTTAGGGAGATTTTCATTGCGTTTTCTTTTTTTCAAACAAAGTTCTATAATTATATGCAGAGGAACCATCTGCATATAGTTATAGAAATATATTTTCCTTTGCTTCTTCTTTCATGGTTAGTGTGATGTTACTTTTATTGTCTAAGTTGTGCTTGTTTGTGTGTATCGGTGACAAGTACGTTTCTGCTATTTCCACAGAGTTGCAGTTGCTATTCTTTCGTAGTTGGAGTACTGTTGTGCTGCAGAATTTTTGCTCACTTCATGTGAAAGAAGTGGTGTGCTGATAGCGATCTGGAGAAGGGCTTACTTTCATGTTGTTCTGTAACTTACTGTATAGTTGAGTAAGAATTCCGCTGATTTGCATGAAGCATTTTTTTTCTTTTTGTTATCATCCGTTCTGTCCATATGGCTACTCCGTGTAGGACAGTCTTCTCGATTACTACATGATAAATGAGTTTGGGTGTTGGTTTGCTCATCCCCCAACCTATTCAGTCCATTCGGTTTAAATTGTTTGGGAGTTTGGAGGTGTTGCTGTCAATATGGCTCAGAAGATCTGTAAACTCAAGATTTTCGTAAATTATGACGCCCAGGTATTTTAGTCAGTTAAATTTTTTTAATTTTTTTTCATTCAATTTCAAATTTTGGAAATCCTGTTATTGTTTGACAAAGTTTGTGGATAACTTAGGCTTAAGACTTTTTTTGAAAAAAAATATTAGTTTGTGCTGTTTGCATACAGAATTGAAAATTTCTAGTGTGTTGTTTACATTTCTTTGTAACCGTCTCTAAGGCTACCACTCACGGCAAAAGCCACGTCGTCCACGAAAGTGATACGTTTAGACTGTTGGGGGACATTTGGGCTTTATGATTTTCTCAAACGCCAAGTTGATATAGTCTGCGTTTAGAGATAAGCCCTGCGGACAGTGTCTGACTTGTACTTTTTCAAATGTGCGGTTATTAGTTAAAATTACGCTGAGTTCGTTGGTGAAGCAATCTTGAAATATTTTATGAATGCTTTTTTGGCATTTCCTGTCTTTCACTGCGCCTAGCATCTTTGGTCAGGAGAGGAAATTGAAGTCATTTGAGGAGGTAGACACAACATAGCTGAATGCTGATTCTATTTTTTATTTCTTTCTATCCTCTCTAGAATTACATTGATTGCATGTACAGGGCTTTTATCTAGGAAACCATGTTTATTGGCAAATTTTATTGGCTTGCTGAATTGGACTTTCTTATATGATGTCTGAAGTTGTTCAAGCTGTTCACCAGGGCTCTCTCCAGCACTTTTCCGTTTGCAAGAAGAACGTTTATTGTTCCTGTTTATTGTAGTATTATTCCTATTGTGAATCTAAGTCTGATGCATTCTGACATTTTTCTGTTTGGCGCTAACAAACACTAGAACTAGCACATGAGAAGTATACTATATTATCCCCATGCTACTAGCCCTTTCAGGGGCGGTGGTTTCGCCTTGAAACCACATTTTCAACATTTTTTTTTAATTTAGAAAATTTGGTTTCATTTTCTCAAAACCGCTGCTAAAATTAAATTACATCTTAAAGCTGATAACAGATGGCAGCACTAAATCTTTTTGGGCATCCATTATACGAATCGTTCAAAAATACCTTGTTTTTCTCACTGTTCTTTTTGGGCTATTTTAAGAACAAAAAAAAAACAATTTTTAATTTTTCCACAATATATTTTATAAGCAGGCATCAATGATTAATGAAATGTCCTTAGTTCACACAAAAAAAGTAATGGAACCCTTTTAATTTTGAATGTTTTCAGCGCGGTTTCAGCATGAAACCACCGCCCCTCTGAGACATCGAAGAAAGGATCAGATGACGCAGTCGCGAGATTTTTTACAGCTGTGTTTATTTCTTTCGGATCACTGCTGTAAGCAGTTGCACCATATCTTCGTTTGAGTGGCTTCAAAGATGAGGATTTATGGAGCTTTTGAGAGTGGGAAAACATTTCTTATTTTTTACAGAGTCACAGAGCACACTGAAGAACACTCACAGTTGCGTTTTTATTCTGCTTCTCTTAGCCATCGCTTTTCTCATTCTTCTAGTTCATAGTTAAAATATTTGTATACATCTAAATTTATTTTATTTCCATATATAATTGTCTTAGTTTTTAACATAATTTTTATAAATTATTTTCATAGTTTTATGTAAGTAATTTAGTGCATTATTAGTTACTTTTTGTCTCTTCCTGTTTTAAAATTTTTTATTTATAATTAAAAAATGCGTGTTTATGCAAATATTACTTACTTCATTAGTTGTTCAGTAATTTACTAGTATAATCTGCAATGTGGGTTACGTTCAAATACTTTCCAGCAAAGTAAAGATAAATAAGCAAATGCTTAGTCTTAAATGCTCTAGACGGGTGCTGGTTTCAAGGCGAAACCGGTCCCCTTTCCATAAAGGGGGACGAAAAAAAATTTTTTACACTCATTTATGTTGTCTATAGGGCCATTGCATGTCATTATGCTTAGTTTTTCATAACTTTTAAAAAATTATAACATTGCTCCACTGAAAGGGCTAAGAGATAAGATCAGAGAAGTGATATATCCAATTGTAACGTTTCAGCTCTCAAACTCATCGCAGAGAATATCAAATCTCCAGTATATCGCCTTCATTCTTTTGAAAAAAAAAGCTGCCACCTTCATTTAAAAAATTTATATGATTCATGGTTTGATAAACCTGTCAAGGGCGCAATGGATTTCTCAACTTTCCCGTTCCGAGAAGCCTACTAATTCATAGAGTAGAAGAGGAATGAACAACTGGTGGACAATAAACATCTTATCACTGTTTGAGTTTCATCATTCGATTGGGTATGGTACCTCTCCCTATTCCTATCATTTTCTTTCATAATAAAATAAACCAAACCAAACCTATCTCTATTCACCTTTCAAAATGGGGAGACATATAATGAATTAAGGCACTTTCCTTGAATGCTTTTGTGATAGAAGTTGTTTATTTAAATATTTCTCATTTCGAAGTAATTAAAGTTCTTGAAGTAGCGTCTAAAATTATTTGTAGTACATAACTCACAAACATCTTTATTTGGCACAGGTGATCTCCTCCTATTCCATTCCTAGTCATCATTTAAGTGAATGTGAGCGATAACTGAATGTGAGCGATAACTGAATTATTTATTAAAGCAATATCTCTTCTTCCTTGAGCGCCCTTGCGATGTCAGTGGATTAAACCACTTATATCGTAAGCAATTAAATGGATTCATTCCCTGGTTCAAATCTCAGTAAAGAAGAAGATGAGTTTTATCATTTCAGGGACTTAAAAGATTATTAGCCCAGTGTTAGTGCCCAGAAATGCTATTAATCTCAAAACGGAATTTTGCGTTGAATGATTTAAATCCGATGTATCACTTTTCAAATTATAGTAAATAAATATTATCGCCCTATATTTAAAGAAATTAAATAATTAAGAATCTACATGAATCATGCATGTTTTTCACACTGTGGAAAACTAACGACAGTTAGAGTCATCAAATTTTGAATAACATAGTCCTCCACCCGAACACCGGCACGCGGATGACGAAATTTGAATTTTGGTCTTCCTTTTATTGTCTATTTCATATTTTTTAAACTTAAAATAAAATTTTGATTGAAAAACTTACAATTTCAAAGCGAGCAGCGACAACGCAGTAGGGAATGAAACATTTGTATGTCCAGCGCACGAGTCTGTCTATCAGAAATATTTATTTTAGTTTATTATATACTATTTATTTATTATTTATTATTATTTTATTTTATTATGTATACATTATATATTAATTTTCTTTTTTTTTTTTTTTTTTTATCTAGCAATTTAAAATTTTGTGAGATATTTCAAGGGACAGTATTATAATGATGTACTGTGATAGATGATTATAGTGTTTCGAAATTAAATGCTAGATTTTTAGCTTATACCTCAGCTTTTAGAAAGCTCTATGCGGAGTAGTTTTGCTTATTGAATAATTTAAAAATTGTTTAAGTAAAGAATTACCACTGAATCCGTGAATAAGTTCGTGTCCAAAAATGTAACCTACAGCTCCAAAATTAAGGTAACTGAAATAAATGTACAAATAAATACCTTCAAAATAGCTCTTTAATACTCTTTAATACATATCTCTTTAAATACAATTAAGTGAAATAATTGTAAAGAAAATATGCATTTTTAAGTTAAATGAAAATTTAAATAAATGTATTAGATACATTACTAACTGTGGTCGATCCTTGTTGAATATGGGATCCTGGAATACGGCAGGTGGAACTTCTGTTGAAAGAATGATGTTACTGAGAAATACAACTCCAATAATAAAATTAAGAAGCGATTTAATTTAGATTTAGCATTTTGAAATAAATATTGTTGCGTTCGTTACGAAATGAATGCACAAGTCCGATGAAAGTGAACAAAATTTATTATTATCACAACAAAAATTTCATCAGATATTCTTTCACAATTACAATATCTCACAGTAGTTATCTTATTTACTCAAACGTTCAACAGAAGTTAATTCAAAACAGCTAAAGTAAGCTAATCCGCGAATTCGCTACAATTAACAAGAGCAGTTTTCTAAACAAACTCTTAAAACAACAACAAGCTAACTAAAAATAACTGACTGAATTGAAATCGAAATCGAGTGAATGGTTAGGCGGCATTTAGTAGCCTCTGCTACTTTAACCGTCTCTGTTGGAGATATACCCTAAGGCGTTGGGAAGAATTAAAAATTAAGGTGATTTACACAGACTGAATTGAGAGGTTTTCCTCCTTTTTATAAGATTTTGAAATCGAGCGCGAGAACTTTCTGGAGTTTTCTCGAAATCAAAAAGAGATATTTATTAAATGTTAAATGCACGCGCTCTTGTATTTTCAATTTTTCCGGCTTAGGTTTTTTCTAATATTCGTCACGCGCTGCACTGCGCGGGAAATAAAAGCATTTAATTTACAATTCAACTAACATTAGCTATTTAAATACCAAATCGGAAACAAACATCTGGACTTTTAATAAATGAAATATTTTATCGCCTGATAGTTGCAAATACATATTTTTAGGCAAAGCAATTCTTCATTTACTGAATACAAAAATAGTAAAATAAAGTCATTCATTCCCAAAAGTAGTTATTTATCTCGGGATTTATCACTTGTATGAAATGAGATGACTTTCTTATTTCATTAATGGTAAATAAAATATCCGTTGGACAACAGACAAAAGAAGAAACCATTGGACAAAAGGCCAAAAGAAGAAACCATTGCACAAAAGAGCAAAAACGAAATCATTTGCCAAAAGGCCAAAAGAAGAAACCAAACGACTAAAACAAGAAGCAATTTCGATATAGATTACAAGCCCCTAAACGACGGAAAGAAGGAACACTTTCAATACGAAAGAAGTTAAACGACCAAACGAAAACGTTAAACGACCGAAAGAAGAAGCACTTTTAGTTTAGATATCAATAAATCCCTAAAAGTTTGAGGCCGATCAGAAGCCGAGCAATAAAGCGTTTGAACAGGGATAATTCGGGCTTGAATCATGGCGAATGGGCTGACCGAACAGGAGTATTCATGGTTTTCCGCGTGAGTGATATATATAAGAAAGAGTTTCTTCTAAACCTTTCCAGAAATGAATTAATTCTCAGAGAGCCCTCAATTTGCTCTACATTAATCAATTAATCCTTAAATTGTTGAAGCCGTTTAAACATTCTGGCGGTGCATTTCCTGTAAAAGTTTCAGTTCTATTTATATTAATATTGACAATATGTAAATGAAGCATTTGTTAAGCTCATAAATTTCAAAAGGAGCTTATAATTGTTATTTCTTACTATCCTTCAAAGAAACCATTGAAGCGTTAACATTTGCTCCACTAGCAATGTCATTCCAAGAAGCACTGAAAGAATATCTCTTTGATATTTGTCATAAATTGTGTGTCAGTATTGAATTCTCTGGAAGAATGAATCAGCAAATAAGCTTGATAACAGATTATTTTGCTGATTTATAGTAAGGTGGAGGTGGGAAATCTGACAAAATGATTGTGGCAAAAGGGTGATTTCTTCCTGATTAAAGAAACTCAGACTTCTTCGCTTAAAATATTGTATACTGTGTAAAGATCCAATGATACTAAAGAAACTAACTCTACAACCAAATTATTTGACTCAGAGCAAATTAATGATATGTAGTTTTGTAGGTCTAGGAGAGCCTACTTTTACAACAGCAAGAGTTAGAAATAATGGTAAAATTTATGGTGCTACTTTGGTAGACGGTTGCACGGATTTTTGGAGATTTACATTGGGGCAGTCGTCAGCCATCTTGAAAAATGCTGTTTACGTATTTTACGCATATAGTAAAGTATTCGAAACTTAAAAAAAAAAATAAATATCGTTAAAAACAATGGATTAATTTTTGGTTGAAAACGTTGTTTTTTAAGATGGCTGGCAAATGTAAATAAATACACTTACTAAGACTAAAAATTGCTAAAGTAAGGTTAAATTATTATTTTCATATAATAGAATAAAAACACCGCTATAAAAACATTGCGCAATATTTAATTGGATTAAAATATTACTTAAATTTGAATATCGAATTAAAATCATTATACCAACGTTTAAAAGAATTAAAATATTACTTAAATACTTTAAAATAGGTTTTATAGGGTTTAATTATTTAACATTAAAACATATGCGGCAATAAATATCTCAGGAATTTTTTAAAACATTGTATTAATTTTTTAATAAAAATTGAAGCATACGATTATGAAGTAAAAGAAAATTATGTACTTACATTTTTTTTAAACATTTTTTAAACATAAGGCCTCAAACGGCAATTTTTTTATTCCAATACCAATAATTCTTGGTAATTACCAATAACAACATTTATATTCGAAACGGACACATCCATTCGCTTTGAAATCTGAGGAATTCGAAGAGATGAATAATAAAATTTTAAAATGGCGCGGTAATGCACAAATATTCAGTAACCAATCAATGAGCTGATTACATCACGCATAGAATTAAAATTATTTAAATAATCATTCATAATAAAATTATATTTTTAAAAAATGCAAAATTAAATTGTATTTTAATATTTAACAGCCATAAATAATGTTTAAAACATTAGATTAAATTTATAGATATTAAAACCAATTACTTTTAAAATACTGTGACGTCATTCTTTACATCATTCACAACATTAAATTCCATAAAATATCATAAACAATAACATTTTATTTCAAATAAAAATGCAAAATTAAATTCATTTTTATTATTTTGAAGTCATAAATAATATTTAAAACACGGAATTTATGCACAATAAAACGCATTATTTTTAAAATAAAATGACAACAAAGTATCGGTTACCATAAACAACTTGTCTAGCAATGGGTTTACCATAAGTCGTATCGCTCGCCAAAAAAAAAATCGCCAAAATCCGTGCACCAAAGTAGCACCAAATTTATTCCTACATCAAAACAAGAAGAAATTCGAAAATGTTATGAATAAGCTATGGAAAACGAAGAGCATATTTCTACCTTTTGATTAAAAAAAAGCAGTTAAGGAATAAATTATTCTAAGACTAACAGAATTTGGGTTTAGGTGTAGTAGCTAAAGTTTAAGAGGATCATTAATCAGAACCGAAAGATTTTCATAGACATGAAATGATTGCAGGAAATCTAATTCAAAATAAAACGTTTTCCTTAAATTTTATGTTTTGCAGAAACACAAGATGTGACGTTTCGAACAACAATGATGTGGAATAAAAATTTAAGAATTTTATTTTCTATTTACGAACAGAAATCTCATGTTCTATGGTATGAGATTTCAAGGTTCTGATTCTTCGATCAATATATAAAAAAGCATACTAGCTCAGGAATGACTATAGACACCAAATGTGATCATATCTTGAATAGAATATGATATTAAATTTACGGATAGCACTGCGAATTATGTCACTAGCAGAAAACAATAAATACAAAAACGAAGTTTGGGTACAAATGTGAACTTGATAAATAATTTACTTTAAAAAATGAATACTTACTGGATTCTTATGATAAATCGAAGAGAAAAAAATATTTTTCTTGTAATGAGATAAAATTCTCTATTGGTTGCGGCCGTTTTCAAAGTCCCTGATGAAATGTTGACAGGCAACATTGAATAAATAGAAAATGAAAGAACAAAATGAAGCCGTCTTGTACTTAGCAGAACGACGATATATGAATTGCTAATCCAGTGCAACTAATGAAGATTTATGATGGACGATAGTTCAAAAGCTATATTCTTTATATGTAACACAGACGTTGAAGCATGTAATGGGATTATTAAGTTCAAAACTGAAGTATTAAAAAGCATCAGGTGAATTCGTGACTGAGAGAACCTCAACTATAACTTCTGTATTACTCTTAAATGGCACAAATGCATCATTAATATAGCCGAACCAAGTTAGAACATAAACTTCATAGCTGGAGCATGCTAAAGTTCTCTGATAACCATAATCAGTTTTCGGAAAAGAGGCATGACTTTCCAAAAACATTTGAAAACAAGAATGTTTTCAGTATCCTTTCAATTACGTTATGTGCTTAACATCCATCCGTTATTTCGCTAAGATCTTCAGTTCAGTTTTAAGGAAAGCTAAAACTGTGAGCCAGTTAATATAAAACTGAATTCATCAAAACTGGTAAAAACAGCAAAGTACCTTCATTTAAAACTTAAAATTGGTATGAAAGAAAGATTTTTCTCCTTAGTTAGAGAGACATCTTATATTTCTTAAACTATTCTAAAACAAAAAGCATAGAGAGAAGTTTAGAAGCTCATCTACATTAAGCTTATTAAAATTAGTATTACTGTCGAATATAAACTTGAATTAGATTATTGAAAAGTTAAACAATGCATACAAAGACTGCCAGCTTACTTTCTGCGTCGAATGAAATCGAGGGGTCGAGCGGGGAAGTAATTCCAAAGTTTCTCGCGTGTTTTATCTTACCATCATCCTCTCGAAATGACTTTCGTCTCGACAAATTTTAAATGTTCTGATTTACAAAGACACTACAATAACAAATAACCTCACTTTACTCGAAAATAGAACTGATGTGAAGCATGGAATAAATATAATTCAAACATTTAAAATTTGTATGAAAACGTATTATTTTTTTAATGCTATTTTATTTTCAGATGATTTCATTGCAATTTTAAGTTAGTAAACTCGTTTTAGTTTTAAAAAAATATTTTCCTAAATTTCAAAACTATTTGAAATTTTGTTAACTATATTCTTGCACGATGATCATCCCCATTTTTACATCCCTATAACTTTAATTTTGTTCTAAATGAATGATTTTTCAGAATCACAAATTTGATCAAACTTGTTCTTACAAAAACTAAAATATGTCAATGTTTCAAAATTATTGGGCGATAACTAAGATCATAACAGTATAGAACAAAAGGAAAAGATAAAGTGATTCACCAATACTGTTCGTCATAGGGTTATAAACTGCATTTCCGTCGGTTGCTTTTAAATATGTATTCCACCTGTAAAAATACATGACTGAAGTAAGATAAATTTGCTTTTGGCCAATAAACATCTCTCTTATCATAACGCAAATTTAATTTATTGATCGGAAATAGAAAAAAAAAGTGTTTAAATTTAAATAATGAGAGAAAAATGTTTTCGATGAACTTAAACGCTTTGATAACTATGATATAAGCTAAGAAATAGTAACACATCTTTAAGTAAGTTACGAATTTTATGCACATAAACACAGGTTTTCATTTTATAATGCTTTATTTAAGTTTTTGATTGCTTATTTTTAATATATACATATGTCTAAGAAAGATTAAAGCAGAATAGTAACGAAACATTTGAACACTGAACATTACTTATTATTTTCATTTCCAAAATACTTGTATGTTTCTTATTCATTATAGAAAAGATTATGTCGAAAAACTGATTGGTAAATGTAGCCTAGGGTTTAATTTTATTTTGATAATCAACGTTAATTTACTGCATCATATCACACCAGCCAAATATGAGATCTACAGAAGGTGTCAATCAACATGTAGATCATCGGTGAACAAGAGACTTGGCAGTCTCCAGCGCGCTTCAATTTAATTTTAATTTAAAAATATGTCTTAATTTACTGTGCAAAACGGCGCACTAATGACTCTGTGCATTGATAGACAGTGACAATAAAACTGTATGTCACTGCTGACCAATAGAATAGACAACGGTCGATCTTCTTTGGTTCAATTTTAATTTTGCACAGCTCCAAGACTAAGGATCTCTGGCCTGCACATTATAGGGTTACTCTTGACCAATAACGTGCAAGCTAACAGGCACTGATTGTCAATAGACTGATTACTGGTGTAGAGGAAAGCAGTAAACTGAGATAGATTTAAAAATTAAAATTAGGTGAAGAGATCTTAAGACTGTTAGTTACCAGTGACATTACAAGTGTATAAGACCTGCAGTTCACAAAAAAGCGGAACGAGATTAAGAAACAAGTATTTTTTAAAACAAGCAATCTTACTGTTTTACTTTTAATAGTAAACCAATAGTTACTTTTAATAAACAATCCAATCAGGATATGACATAAAGTACGCTATGGTAATCATTTCCAACTGCTATGCAGCATAATGTACTGTGGACCTTTAGCAAATTTTTTGAAGCATGTACGGGTTTACCATTTTCAGTGAAAGTTATTTTCCAGTGCATATTATCTTAAACAGCATTGTGTTGCTTTCGTAGAGTAATACTGTCATAAAAAATCCAGTAAACTACGTCCTTACTGTAGCTGAAGTCGAATCTTTGGAAAGCGGAATAAAGACTCATCAGATTTAGGAATGCAGGATCCCTCACATTGGAACATATATGATATTATTCTGAACAAATCAAAGAGCTTCTGAAAAGTTAACTAGTAGTCGCTTATGAGGAGCTACAGTGATGAAAGGCAGCTATGGTGTCACCTTGTTCTACACCTGAAAGGTTTTGCACTCTAAGTAGAACTTGAAATCGCAAAAATATGTACAAAATTACTGAAATCAATTATCCCGTTCCGCCGTTGGCATTTGATAATTGAGAGCAGAGTCTGAACCCCATGCAACTTACAGCTTACTTAGACTATTCGGGTCTAGTCGAGACTCTGCAACTCCCCGGGGCAATACCTCATGGCCCCATAGAAGAATATAGCATTTGTTTTTCTCTCGAGGACCAATGAAATGGGCTACACTGACGACAACACATTTAAAATGCTTTTATGTAGCGTAAGAAAGGCAAGGACTAATCTTAGCAAGGGATCTCGTACGTCTATTGCTAAAAGCAGATGTCATTTTAGTAGAGCTTCTGAATGCTCTGAGAACTCGACAGAGCAATAAATACGCAAATACCCCTCCAATGTCATCAAAAGTCTCTGGTTTACGTCGGCGAAGTTCTTTATTTAGGAATGTGTAATGTTTAGTAGTCGTGTGAAGCTTCATGCCTTCTTAACGAGGTTCAGTCTCTTGTACCATTTTTCCCTCTTTGCAAGTGTCTTTCCTTTAATTCCTTCGCATAGACAATATTGCTCACGTTATAATACAGAGTAACATATTTGAAACGTTAGGGAACGAACATATTTAGCACATGGAATATTCGGAGCAGTTCACTTAATGTCTTAAGTCTAAAACGCCTCCAGAAACATCCAAATTATCCTCGGGAAAAGCGTACCATCTCATCACCAGCCGCCAACAACTTTTCTGTAGTGCGACTGATGGTTCTAGAAGAAAGAAACATAATACCTGAAGAGCTTATTTATGGCCTTATACTAAGCATCAGCAGACGATACATATCTTCCATCGCTTTCAGTGTTGGTCATATTCGCTCGAAAATTGCAATTATTTTTCGCTACAGTCTGCTACATGCATATTCCTGTTTTAACTTTATAACTGTTCTGCTCAGGATTCACATTTTTGTAAAGAACCTTTTGCCTTGTGTTTTTAGTCAGTGCTGTTTAAATTTTCCACAAATGTGCATCTGTGTGTTACAATTCATGAAATAACTAGTTTCGAATTTGTTGCCAGAGTTATACATAAGCATATATATTTGCAGGTATTGGATTATTAATTAACTAAAATGTATCAGCATATTTTGTCTGCTTTAAGTTGATATTATAATCTTTTAATTGATAGCATGATGCGTATAAACCTAGATAAATGTTTTATGCTAGTATCTTTTTTCCAGTAATATCTATTAAAGGTAAAACAGTACGATTGCTTGTTTTAAAAAGAACAATATGAATAACTAAGAATAATATGGATAACTAAAATCACTCAATTTATTATTATATACAAACACAGGAGTTTAATATTTAGAACAACTTCCAAAAATCATATAGTAATTTCTATAATTTATAACCCGTGTGTTTCTAACGGTCCTCGTAATAACTTACGATATTAGGCAATGCGAAAAATAATAAGTAATAAATTAGATCAACTCTGGTTTTCAGGTTTGGTGTTTAAAACGGAATAAATTGAAATCCCCAAATCATTTTTATTGAAAACGTGTATAGATACAAATGAAGATGAAATGTTATGATGTCTGGATGTCTGAAAATGTTTGCAATTAATAGCACCTGACATTTTTCTCTCTAAATAGAAAATAAACCATCCTTCTCTTAGGAGACTTAATAAGATAAAATTATACGTTGTTAGCTATGCGTTCCATATTCTATTATACTCATTTTCTAAATGCCATCATTTTTTATTCCTTTTTTAAAAATAACACTAAAAGGAAAATAAATGAGTCTTAATAATTAAAATATTACATATGTGTATTTTCTGGTCTAGTTTTCCGTAGACGAGAGAAAGCCTGGTCAAGTAGCCACTTGCCCACATTCAGATTGTTGTAGAAAAAGCTTTTATCGTCAAATACCAACTGCAAAAGAGATTCAAGTATAGATATTTTTAAACAAATTGCATTTAAAGAGAAATTAAGTTAAAAAAATGTTTATTGATGCAAATCGGAGTACATACATTAGCGTACACATCAGATAAATAAGAATCATTCAAAAGTGCTTCCGGATAACCAATATACAATGTCGTGGCATCAGCCTAAAAGACACATACAAATTAGTCTCAAACATATTCTATAATAATCGTAGCAGATAACTAATACTTGAATAATATGTAATCAGAATAGGCAAAAATTAAATTCCAGAATATTCAAGAAAAAATTACAAAATTAATGCTTGACACAATGTTATACAGTATTTTATATTGAAGTTATGAAATCTTACATTTCTGGAATCCTTACCCCTATACTAGAGAGCCATTCCATTTAGAAAATTATGTTACTACATATTGGGTACATGGGGAAAACCACGAAAACGTCCATGCAGCCAGCCCGTTCGCGGGATTCGAACCTCGGGCCGAACTTCCAGTCTTCAGCGAATTTACCACTCGGCCGCTGGTAGGCCAATTCATCCCAGAACTTCAATACATAAATCTCGATTTGCGGACGAATCCCAAACACTTTACTACCAGAGGCTATACGACGATCCATGGAATCTTTTCAAATCAAAGCTTGAGAACATATGTGTACATGAGTACGTATAATTACCTACCATTTTCTGTTATATAGAAGAATAGAATAATTAATAGTCACCAATAAAACTTAAAAAGCGGTAGCAAGGAAACAACGTCATTGGATACCAGTTCTAATGATAATGAACATAAATATCATACTCTGGTTTACTATAATCTATAATAAAAAAATAAAGAATACTACCCCTTTGGGCGTAATGTAAAATCTGAAAGCTTTTAGAATTTTTTTATTAATGTTAAAAAGCATCACCGTGGTTTATTGAAATTCTCAGATTTTTAAAATTAATTCGCATAAACTAAATCTGAAGAAGATTAGATGGAAGCTATGAACGAAAGAAATCTCTGGGAAAATGATAACGAAGTTTTAAATGCAGCTATATAGTTCCTATGACATCTCGTCATTTAAAGCTGAGGAAAAGATTACGTTGGATCTTCATATTATATTATGATAGGTATTTTAACAGCAAGTTTTTTAATCTCGACAAATTTATACAGCGAGAAAATTAAAATAAATGTCAAAACCTTTTCTAAGGCAAAAGTTTTACTTTTTTCATCCATCCAATCAATATTTTCAAGCATATTTAAATATTCATTTTGAACGTAAGTAACAATCTGTAGTGCCTGCAAAAAAGATAAGAAGTTTTACACATTCACATTATTAATTATGATAGAGATTATAATAAATTATATTTTAGCAATCTTTATGTATTTTATAAAGATATTAAATGCATAAATATATACATCAGTTTAAAATATTTTAATTCATGCTGAAAACTTTAAAATCTTTACTTTCTTTTCCAGTTCGTTTTTAATGTAAAAGTAACTCCAAAACAGTTAAACAGTTATACATTACTCCAAGCGGTTCAAGCAATATATTTTCAGGTTTGCGCTTCACTAAGAAATTTCTACTTTTCAGCATTTGGGAAGTGCAGATTTCTTTCTGAAATTCCCAAATGTTGTATGGCAAAATCCACTTCATCATCTAGGCATCACTTCCTTAAAACTGTTTGTTACTAACTGCATAGATAATAAAGATCTAACCAAGACATGAATCTTCAGAGCGTTACAGCTTTTACCAATCGTGCTAGATTTTCTTTTATCACACATTATAGTTGTTATATAATATGCAGAATTTTTCAATATTTATCTAGAGTTACTATTTAATATAACAAGTGGTTATAATTCAAATTTTTACTATAACTTCTCCTTTCCTTTTGATTCACCAGAATGCAAATGAGGAATCCGGTATTTAAAATCAGGTTTTTGGAGTTTAAGGTACTGTGTGTTTCTGGCTGCGAGTGCACACTACGTTTAGTTCCTGCCATCTCTGATAATTGTAATAATTCGGCTTTGCGTTATTGTTTGCCAACAATTTGAGTTTTTTGCTCCGGTTAGAATTGCTGATCTTTAATGGACTGTAGTTACTTTAGACGTAGCAATAATCCGCTGAAGTCTGATAGGGTTAGTAATTACAGATTAAGTAAAACCCACGAAATGAATGATAAAATAATTATCTTCAGTACCATGACTTATACTTTCTAACTCAATTTGAAATTTTAAGTTTTAAAATCTACTTCGTTCCTTATTTTCATTCAGTAAAACTAGAATAAAAGTCTAAGCAACTTCTTTTTTTTTTTATTTTTGCACTGTAGAAATGGAATAAAAGTCTAAATTACGTTTAATAACGTATATTTTAGACCATGGTTAATTTGCGGCAAAATTTCTACAATTGCCATTTGAAAAGCGTTAAGTGTCTTTTAATTTGAGTGACAAATAAATAGCCTACTATGTACCTTGCATTATTTTTTGAATCGGCTAAGCGCCTGACATTAACAAATATAATTTGTAAATTATCTACATATTATGTTACATTATGCCCAAGCCACATACGGTGTTCTTGCTTTCCTCTGGGAAGTAGTGTCTCATATACATGGAATTAACGATCAGTTCGAAGTTTTCGTATATGAAATCAAAGCAACTTTTCCGACGAGGCGTCCAATGAAAACCAAGTTTTGGCAAAGATTCGAACACAATAATCCACATCATATAATTAGACAGCACCCTGAAAAGAGAAGAATCACTCTTAGGCTGTCGAAGTTTGATATTTCAGATACTTACCTAGGAACATTTCAAAATTTTCTGAGTGATTTTATAATTCTAAGCAAAGATCTTATATTAGAAAAGGCGAATGTGTGTGCCATGGACGCAGTCACGTTTACAAATTGTTAAATGTTGCAATGCTTTTTTTAAATTCGATATATTATTTATGTATGGGAGACAAACTGATGAAAGTACACGAATGGTTTGCTCCTGGTATCCTCACCTGTAAAAATTGTTACTGCTTGGAGTTTCACGAGAATTAACTCATCAAAGCATTATTCGAGATTACTAGAGATTAAAAACAAGGTTTGAACCTTGTACAGGACACTGGTATATTCGTTGATCATTTTAGTATAAAACACTATTCGATTCGTTAGAGAATCGGGGGTTTATTAGTTTTATAGAAAACCGTGGTTAACTACATGAATGGGAAAACAAATCATTAAGATGCCTCGCAGCAAAAATGGGAATGAGTTAACATACCTATACACAAAAATGATACGTGAAGGAATTGGGAATGGCATTTACAAGAATTCACACAGTTGTAGCAAACTGAAGTCTTTCCATGGCATATTAATTGAATTAACATGAAATTAATGGTTTTATTTGACGCGTGTGCACCTGTACGCCAGATAAACATGAATAAAGTTAAGGAAGAAATTATTATTATTGCCAATACTGTAGCGACCAAAGAATACAGAATTTATCTCTTGAAAAATCTATTGCCATTTGGACATGCTACTGGAGATTTGCACCATGATTGATTTATATCCTCTAAGATGAAAATGACATTAAGGGCTGAGTCGAGATCTGCGGTGTAGTATTCTAATAACATAGCTTTAGAACAAAGGTGCCCTTAAGCTACTGTTCCCTATTTGGTTAAATTTTCCACTTCCAGCTCTGAATGATCACCGATCTTTGAGTAACTTCTAAAATACATTGCCCTCCAAAACTTAAAGAACATCATGTTTTGCATTACAAAGCTCAGCATTACAAAAAGGTCAGTAACGTTTAAATTCATAGTTCATATGATTGAAAGTAACGAAGTTTAAGAAAATATATGTAAACACAACAGCTACCACTTTTACTTCATAGAAATGAATATTAATATAGGAATTGGTGAAGCAAGGCAAAAATTTTAACTTTTGTTCACCAGTGTTGATCTTCAGTTGTTATTACAGTTTCGTGGACAATGCTCAGGAGAAGTCGTTTGACCCATTCGGGGAGGTGACGGGCGATCGGATGGATGGAAATGGGGATACCACAAGCAGATGCTGCTAGACGTCTCTATGTCTCTTGTCTAGTCTGTGGAATCAGTTTAAATCCCAGGATTCTGTGCTTAGAAGACATGTTCCAGGCAGATCTAGAGTTACAACACTTGCGGAAGACCGCAATTCAGCTCTTTCGGCCTGAAGGAGGAGTAACATTACTGTGCCTCAGATAATGACAGATCATTTAGCGGCAACAGAAACAGGAATCTCAGCTGCTACGGTGCGCATACACAGATATGTATGCAACACCACCAGTTCTTTGTGTCCATTTGAACTGAGGACACAGAGGTGCCCGTTTATGTTGGGCAAGAGAACACTTCTGCTGGACCAGTCAACAATAGGCGTCTGCTCTCTTCACAGACGAGTCAAAGTTCACATTGGAGAGTGATTCAGGTTATCATCTGATCTGAAGGGAATAACGCACCAGATGCAATGAATTCCACATTGTGACAGTTACAGAGGACATAGAATATTAGTTTGGGCTAGGATCTCTCTCTCTCTCTGGGAGGTCACACCGGCCGTTCATGTATTCCATGGAGGAACTTTGACCAGTGTGAGATATCGAGACGAGATCCTTGACCATTATGTCCGCGCATATGACGCTGCTATTGGTCCTGGATTTCTTCTGATGAACAACAGTGCGCGACCGCACCGAGCTCGGGGTGTTGAAGAGTCACGGTACGGAGCGGATGGAATGGCCAACTCATTCCCCAGACCTGACTCCGATAGATCATCTTTGGATCTACTTTGGGAGACAGGTTATAGCTTTAAGTCATTCTCCAAGGTCGTTAGATGAGCTCGAACAAGGATTACTCCGTGTTTAGGCGTTGCTTCCCATTCATTGACCGACAACTTAATTGAAAACATAGAATGTTGCTGCCGCCAATGTATTTCAGCTGGGTGGATACCAGTTTTGTAATGATAACATTACAAAACCCATTTTTGTAATGTTACCACCTCATTTTTACTCAAAAGACTGTGACATACTCTTTCTCCAAGACTGGATTTCTCTGCCAAGAGTTCAATTTTTTGTTGTAATTCATGCTTGTGTTGAATTTCTGTGTGCATTCATTAAAGAACTGTTTAGTGTGCATGCCCTGTAAATTTCTTTTTTCTGTGTTGCTTCATTTTCAAATTTGATACACAAATTTTGCTGTTCCTTAACTTTTGGAGGGGCAATGTATGCAGCGGTTTCTTTTTATCAAATTAATAAAGAAATGCACTTTCTAAATTAACATGCGTTAAATCTAATTATGCTTTCAAATATTGCTTATTTATGATTTCTTACATAGATGTTTACCTTGCATTAATTTAGACTGTACTCAATCAGTAATTTTACTTTTATGAAAAATTAAAAATTAATTAATTAAATATTAACTTTCAATTAAAAATTCAAAGAACATCCTGTTTTAATTTTGAAAATTAGTAAAGTTTCGCAAGTTTACGATTCACATAAATAAAAATTTTTAATTTGTGTTTTTTAACATGTCTTTCTCTTCGTTTTTTAAGTTTACATCCTAAATTTATATAAATATGTTTTCAAAGAGTTATGTATAAATTATAAAATTCTTTTTAGTCTTACCTCTTACTTGTATTTGCGATGAGATTGGCAACATCAAAGACAAAATCACTAACGAGCACAGTTTCATTTTCAAGGATTTCTTCACCAAGTAGATTGTTAAAAAATTTATTCCAGTCAATCTGTTCGAAGGCAAAAGAAAAGTATTCTGCATCTTAATTTCAGAACAGTTTACTTCAAGTATGTGCCATAAAAAATAAATAGTTGAATAAAATTTAGAGGGAATGAAACTGTCAAAGAATCGTGTAAATTAGATAATACTGTGTTTGATGCTCCTGCGAATACACACTTTTATTTCATTTAATGTTTAACAAACATTTTTCATGTCTCATAGCAGTAAGAGGTAAAATATTTCCCGTACTTTCTTTTAAACAAAGCTCACAAGCGGCCGAGTGAAACCAAACTATCTTTTAAAAAATGAACTTCCTAGTTTGTTATCTGTTTTTTTTTTTTTTTTTTTTTTTTTTTAATAATTTTAGGTAGAATTTATTTCTATTTAATCTAACGAAATGTGTGCTTATGGGTATTAAAGCTTGCTTTTGTGGAAAACATTAAAAGACCTCGACTGAAAGCATGCATTTACATTTTCATTGCGAAAATATGTTTACTAATAAATTTATTAAGTAGTCGGATAAATATTATTTTATCTTGAAACTGCATTACGTCAGTTCCCACTTATCGAGATTGAGATAGTTTGATTTACATAAATAGCATCATTTAAAGGTTAATTTATGCGGAATTGTAATCTCAAATTACATGCTTAAAAATACCACGTATGTTAAATTAAAGATTGAATGTAACCATAAATTATGCAGTAGTTATAACATACACATTAATAATGCAGGAGAAAAAGTTTCAGAAGCTGCGAGAAAAAAGAGGAAATACCAGAAGTGCAAGAAAAAAATGTGTACTTTAATGTTTGAAATGATTAGAAGCTTAGCTGCTTACTTTAGCTAGCTTTATTATTTAAGTCGATGTAGTAAAATGAAACTATAAAGATTGGTTTGATTTATTTGTCTTCTTTGGTTTAAAAATTTGCGTGCTGTTGACTTAAAAATTTGTGTGAAAATTTTAATAATGAGGATAGCAGGACTTCCGTTTTAAAAATGTTTCCTTTCTATTTGTACTTAAGCAATTTACGTTAAGATGATACACTTCTGATCCCTCCTTCTTATCAAGCTTGAAGAAATTCCAGGAAGACTGTTGGCAGGTTTCTGTTTAATCATCGACAACATGAGCACATCAATTAAACCGCCAGCACATTCAATGATATAAATTAGATTTTAGCATTTTGGGGACAATTAAAACACATTTTTATTGTACCCTGTTGCAGAGTTACAAAACGACATCATAGTAATTGCTGCACTTCGACACTAGTGTGGATGGTAGAAGCACTTCGACACTAGTGTGGATGGGGATATAGGTCGTAAGTGATTGCTACTATAGTATCTATTGCAAGAAGGATTCCAGAGTTAGTAAATTGAGAATATCAGCTTGTCTTCCTGTGTGAAATGGGCTGTATGTAACTTCCTTAGACGCATAAGTTAAGAGGATGTTGTGGTTTGCTGAGGATGAACTCCTGTTAGGCCTTGCCGTTTAGATTAGTGTTTCTACAACCCTAATCAGTTTTTTTACATAAATTATGACTCGACCAATTCTGTGCAGGCGTCTGCCCCAACCGATAGGAACGGTAATTCATAATTTTTATTTATCACTGGGTATAGCATGTATTACAGTAGTCATACAAAAGTCAATGCCATTTTGCAGAATCAAATCGTGGAGTTCCGCAAGCTTGTTTCATAAACTACATGCCTTCCATAAAGCCATTAAAATGGAAGAGACAAACCAGCTATTATAAGATTCCCATTTATACGCAATGAAGATTGCGTTACTTATACCTGTTCTGTGCGCATGCGTTAGAATGCTAATAATTTGCATATCCCGGCATGTAGAATCTTTCATGCAAATTTTACCTTCCTTGCAAGTCGTGTTCATAGTGCAGCAATTTTGATGCCCAGCAGTGTTAAAAGCAAAATCTTCTTTATTTCCCGATTTAATTGTTAAATAAATCAAGAATTTCTTCCATTTAGGTATTTTGTTCAATTAGAGGAATTACTAGTTTAACAGAGACTATTCAGCTTTGTTTTTTATTTTTTTGCTTTATGGACACCACTATACAGAATTTCTTAATAATTAATAATATGAATTTATTTTTTGCATTTCTTCATCACTAATGAAATGGGCTGTATGTAACTTCCTTAGACGCATAAGTTAAGAGGATGTTGTGGTTTGCTGATGTTGTGCTCTCACCATTAATGCTAAAAGAAGTAGGAGGCACAAAAGAAAAATCCATCTGAATTTTAATGACACGCAATTTTTATTCTACGGGAATCAAACTTCCCCCCCCCTTTATTTTATTTTTGTTTTTGTTTTTAAAGTCTGAGCATGAACTTATGGCTGTACTAAACGGGGGAATGTATAATTAGTTAAATTTCCTAATTTTCAATATATTTTTTATTTCCTTTTTCTTCATTTTAATATGAAGAAGCTATACCATAAATGCTAATGTCATTTAAAACATTTATGTAATTGGAAGTGCATATTTAAGGCTAACGGTTGTGATAATAAATACCATCTAATGACTTTTGTGGATAAGAATATAATGCTGCATGGTAAAGAATGCTTATATCTTCTGTATGTTTTTTGTACCATTTAACGGTATGAACACCTCTCTTTACCTTTCACCACATGTTCGCTTAGCTTTGCACTTCATTCCCTTTTTACGTAAAATTGCACTTCTTTTAAACATATCTTCACATAGAGTCCTAGGGCACGCATATACGATATGATAAACTCAAAATAAATTTGGCAATCGGCAGCAGAGGCAAAAATTTCAGAAGACTAAAGGCTTTTAATTTTAGGAGTCATTAACTAAAAATTTGTAAGCATGCGATATCTTCTGTATTGATGTTGTGTAGTATATTATGCATTAAATTTGTAAGTATCTGTAAACAAAGTTACTATTAGAAAAATTTTTAAATGAATCTGTAGAAATTATGTAGAGTATTAACTTTACCTGTGGTATCTTATCCTTCAGTTCACTGACAGTGTAATACGTAAAGTTGTGTTTCCTTTCCGGAAGTTCTGAACTGAACTATTAAAGAAAATGCAATACTTCAAAAAAGGCATAAAACTTATAACTTAGATAACAATGAAGATTATATAACTGCAGGAAACACCAAAAAAGTATTTGTGTAAGATATTTTTTTATGTTTAATAAATTTTGTTCAGTATAAAACAAACTTTTAAAATTAATATCGATTCGCCTTCTCGCGGCAATCCTTTAGATTTCTTTCAAATTACCTTTACTATAAATAATTAAATACGCTTGCTTCATTCTTTCGTCGCACATACGATATTATTATTATTTGCGAAGTCAAGCCTCATATTTGGTGAATTTTATCCCCATGGATTTACATCACGAGTAAAGATTCTAGTCTAACATGTTTTTTGTCAGACCCACCAGATATGATGAGAGCTCATCTTTCGCTCTCACCAAAAACTTAAAGCCCCCTTTTTGTTAAGAAATTTAGAGGGTATAAAAATTCGTTTATACCCTCTAAATTTAGCTCTTTTTCTTAAAATAAATGTATTACAGGAAAACTGCGACAATTCGAAGACGATGAGAGAAGAATTAGGCTCTAAGAGTTGACGACGTGCTAGTGTTAAAATGCAATTTCTATTTCCTAACCATTAATTAAAGGAACTTCAATGAAGTTAAACAAAATTACTTTCATGTTATACTAAATGATACATTTGTAACAATTTATTAAACATTCTTTGAGGAATTCCAGTAGAAATAAATTCATTCAAGTAAACTTTTGTTTGATGGAAATCTATCTAACGCCATTCAGAGACGTGTTGACGAGATTTCGTTTTAGACTGCAGTTAAATCGTTGATAATAACCATTGTTTTGTCATTTTGACTTGTATTAAAATTTGATGAATTTGAGAACAACATGTGATTCACCTTTGTATTTTAATTTGTGTGACAATTTATTAAGCTTATTTGTTTTAAAGATAGATTGAAATAGTTTACGTGTAAATTTCATGTTTTGATGCTATAGAAAGCTGGAAAAGGAAAACTCTTTCCTGATTTATACTAAAATAAATTGAATTATTATATTCAGAACGCTATTTCATGGCAGTATAAAAGCTCATAAGCAGTCAAACGGTAAAGTCAGCTGACCACTGGTACTTCGGTCCGTGGTTCGAAATTTAAGCGAACGGGCTGGCTGCATGGGAGCTCTTGCGGTCCCCCCCCCCATGTATAAAGTGTATGCTTGTGAATTTCTCTCAAAAATTTCTCCACGATGGCATGTCTCCGCTTAGGCAAATAGCCCTCGAGTGCTTTGCTATATTCAAAAAAACCAAATCAAACCATAGCAATAAAAAATTAGTTTTTCAGATTCAAATTACTTAGCATTATTATTATTGTGGCCACTTTAAATTAATTAATTAATACAAGAGCAGGAAAACTAATGTTTGAGCTTTTGTGAAAATCTAAATTCGTTTGATATAATTTAAAGAAATTGTGTCTAATTAGACGAACTCTATGTGAGTATAAAATTACTTGCAACTATGATCCTTATGTAAATGTTTTGAAAATTACCTTTGTTTTACTCGTATGTTAATAAATTGTCGATTTTTGTGTCTCCTTTCTCTCTCCAAAAATTACATTTTAGGAAAATGAAATTCGTATTCTTTTAGAGAAGTTAATATTATTTACTTTACTTTTGTAACATGAAAATAAAATTATATACGAACGGTGATTTTTTAAATCCATAATTTTGCTTCATATATATATAATAATTTTATGTCGTCGACGAACAAGGTATTTAATTTTAATTATTTTAATGTCTGGAAAATGGTGTAAAGAATTAATACAATAACAAGGATATTGAAATTATACAAAATTTCACGTCATAAACCAGTTAGTTATATAGATATTGAGCTTTTAAATACGTTACACATTTTGAAATTTTCAAAGTACCTGACACCTTAAATATATGTATCGTAATTAACGCTGTGGAGAATGTTTCCTGTTAACGCAGTACAGAATAATTTCTTTTCGGAGAAATTTTACATTCATACTCAAATAAAATGATAATGACTATATAAAGTAATTCTGTAGAGCAGCTGAATGGTTAAAATTAAACGAAATGAATGAATGAATAAATAAAATGGTTAATATTAAAATAAAAAAACCTTCATACTTACATTAACCAACATAATTTCGAAATCGAGAACTTCCTTGAGTTCATTTTTTGAAGTATTTTTATTTGCACCAAGCATTGTGGCAATGTGCACCATTGAGTTGAAGTACTGAATTGTTTCGGGATCATGTGAGCCTTCGGTCAAGAAATAATTATCACTTCTTAATGACGTTACTCCCAACTAAAAAAGGACAAATTATTATTTAAGATGTGAGAATCAGAAACTTTTTTTTGCGCGTAATATCAACAAATGACTTTCATGCTTTTGCATGGGTCACGGTTCATAGTCAGCGGGGCTTAAATGTAATTATTTTTGTTTAATTTTTGCATTCGGAAAAACTTAAAATGAATATATTCCTCTTTTAATGAGTAACATCAATTATGTAACGATTTGATGTAAGTTAAAAACGTGCACTGCTTGACCTTAAACAACACAATGAAAGAAGCAGCTAAGCATAATAATTTGAGCACGCAACCACAAAAATGATTAGCAATGCAGGTCATACACAAATTATGGTCACATGTGACTCCACCTAGAATTAGCATAAAACAGATGATAGCGGCACAAGTTTTCACATTTAGAAATCCGTTTGACTAGAAAATCACAGTTTGCAATGAGTAGGAAAATGAAACATAAGCAGCACAAACAATTATGTAAGATAATTAAATAAATGCAATTTTTGTTTTTTACATTTTTATTACTTTGAAACTATTTTCACTTGCACATTTACGTATAATATATTCATACGTAATCTGTAACTTTTTAAATTATTACTATCAATGTTCTCATTTTATTTAAGATATTATTTATATAAAAACAGATGAACGTACAATATAACAAAATGAAAACGGTACTTACGTACCGTAACGTACTCTGGCAGCCATGCGAATAACAAATCTTCAGTTTTAACATGCAACATCATTATTTCCATATGCGTTCCTTTTGTTGCACTGCAAGTTCCAACGGTTTTTATAAACAAATCATGATATTTAAATTCAGTTTTAAAGTCCCTTATGGGATGTGCCTACAGTGGAAGAAATTGAATTCTGCAGGAATGCGACTTTTACTTTCAAAATCATTAAATAGACCAGTTTTTTTCTCTTTTTATATATATATTATATATATATAGTCTTAAAGCGACTGTCGCAGAATTTCTGCCAGGGAAGAAAAACGTCCGCTTATTAATAGGATTAATTTTTGATTTGGGGTATCAATATTTAATTAAAACACTAAATACACTGCTGGCCATTAAAATTGCAACACCATGAAGGAAAGCAAATACAAAAAAAGATATTTATTGTACGTAAAGTGTAAGGCATGAAAACAAAATAATTAAATTTGTAAGCAGTTTAGGGGTTTACAGAAAGGCGAAATTAGTAGGAACAACAGCCACCCCTGGCAGATAAAACGGCCCTTACCCGGTTAGGCATGGAGTCGGACAGGGCTTGGATGACAAAAACGGGCAACTCATTCCATGCTGCTTCGAGTATCGACGAAGATCAGAATTCGACGTGCAATATGTGGTCATGCATGATCTTGTTGGAATATGGCTTTTGGCAGGCCTCGAAGATAGGGTGCAACCACCGAACGTAAGACGTCAGAAATGTACCGATCTGGCGTTCAAATTACTGTCGATGCGAACCAGAGATGTGCGTGTCGTGTATCCAATGGCTGCCCAAACCATCACACCAGGTGCAGGGCCTCTAAGTCGATATCGAATGCAAGCAGGCGACGTGCGGTCTCCTCAAAGCCTCCAGATACGTATACGGCCATCAGAATACCTCATACAGAACCGGGACTCGTTTGAAAAGATGAAGTTGTGCCACTCCCTGTATCCAGTTTTGTTGTTCGGCACACCAGAGTCGCCGTCTCTCTCTATGCTGTGTAGGGTTTATATTTATTTTAACTAACATTTATTTTAAGTTTAAACTATCTTTCCTGTCAAGCCTTACTTTCCCCTGGAATTGCCAATGCCAGAGTATGTAAATTTTAGTAGAACGTGCAAGGATTCAAATTGTCAGCGGAAGTAATCTGAGTTAAATAGAAGGGAAACGAGTTCGAAAGTTTGCTTCACGAGCGTGGAGGTGGCTAGTTAGAAATTGAAGAACCACGCGTTTCGGCCTGTGTGCTTGCCTCGGCAGATTGTTAATCTTTCAACGTAATATTCAGAAGTTTGCTGAATTATCAGCGGTATTTTAGAACGCGGTGAGGTTAGTTACGTTTAGAGAGCCTCGTAGCTAGTCACTTGTTACTATTCTTTTTTTTTTTTTTTTAGTTTCTTATTTTTATTTTACCGCCGGGTCGGCGTAGTTTGTGAGCGTCAAGAGCACGCATTTGTAATTTCTAAAGTTGAATAAATAGGGATTTAAACCCTTCTCAAGACTTTGTCTACTTTCCAGTTCTTAGCAGTCACCACTATTGTTGCGCGCAGGTTGAAAGCGCGCAACATTACAGCTGAATTGTCAAGGGACGCCGAAGTAATGGTCATCGTGCTGATTGTCCACGCTGCTGCAAACGTCGACGCACAGTTCGAGCGGATACTGAACGTGCTGCAAATATGCCTATTTCCTGACTAATGGTCCATGATGTGGTTGTACGCTTTTGCATGGCTGACCTCATAATATATCTGTCTTCGCGGCCGCTATTCATGGAGGACGTTGAGATCCTGCATGTCGTTCAATATGACCCTCAGCAACCCACTGATTTCATATTCGCATGACAGTAATTTTATGTCGACCAGTGCGACGGGCGATACCACGGAACGATAATCCACACTTTCGATAAGCAACGATCCTGCCTCAGTGAATTCCGACACTTGCTGATAAGCATTTCCTTTTGTTATTTGAGGGATAACACGATATTCTGATCAAACGCTGACCTTGCAAAGCTCTTTCCAAATGAGAAATCCATTACACAACTTTTTTTATTTATTTTTTTATTTTTTATGTAGTGCTTTAGATGTCGTTTCTCCCTCCTGCTTCGTCTAAATGCGCTGAAATACTAATCGGTTGCATATCCCAACCTCTTCTTTCTTTCGTATGATTTTGACGCTTGTCAGATTATTCCTTCCTGGTGTTGCCATTTTAATGGCCAGCAGTGTATATATGCTTCTAATAATCAATTTTTTGAAATTATTGTTGTGTAGCTCACATTTTGAATAATTACAAATTAAAATTTTGATTTTTATGAATCACCTAATTATATTAAATTCGCTACACAACATTAATGACTGATAATGTAGGCACTTGATAAAACGCATAACTTTGGAGACGAGGGAAAGTACTTAAGAATTGCCGGAAAAGAAGCATAATGCACACAACATTAATGACTGATAATGTTGTGTAGCTCACATTTTGAATAATTACAAATTAAAATTTTGGTTTTTATGAATCACCTAATTATATTAAATTCGCTACACAACATTTGTTATCAGTCATAATTTTTTTTCTTCTACAGAAAGTTTCCAATCTGCGTCTGTGTGGTTGCGCTAATACATAAGTACCAAGAACACATATGAAATGCTACTTTGCTTGACTGAATCATTGTTAAGAGTATGGCTGCTCGAAAAACATACCAAATTTCTTTCTAGGTTTGGTGTGTATGGTGTATTTAATTATGGCAAAGCACACTAGGACTATCTGCCTAAGGGGAGGAATGCTTTCGTGGAAGACTTTCTAAGGGAAACTGGCTCGCATACACGTTACACATGGGGAAAACCACGAAAACACCCATGCAGCCAGCCCGTTCGCGGGATTCGAACCTCGGACCGAACTACCAGTGTTCAGCGACTTTACCGCTCGGCCGTTGGTGGGCTCTTTCTAGGTTTGGAGATTTCTACTCAGGTTTGGTTGAGATAATGAGATAATATGTAAGTACCAAAAAAAAAAAAACCCTTATGCAGAGTTCCACGAATTTATACTTTCTGCCTTAGGTATTATCTTAAGCCAAGAAGTTTTTTTTTTTTTTTTTTTTTTCCATATTATGCCTGGTTATTTGCGATATAATGTAAGAAGCTTTTTATAAGCGTAAAAGTTTTAGCATTCCGCAGAACATAAAAGTATGTGTTAAAATGAAGGGGTTAAAGGCATCCTACAAATTCTGATATTTTTATGCCGGATTCAAACATGTATAAATAATTAGTTATTTAGAATTCTACATATTATGGATATATGGTATTTTTGTAATAAATTTTCCTTCTAATCTTTTTTTTTTTTGATTTAGTCAAATGGGTAATTTGCCTAAATCGACTATTAATTTCGTTTTGCATTTTGCAGCTATTCACGATAAGAATTGTTACACTTTTCGAATTATTGCCCCCAAATGTTATCGTCCTGTATTATATTTAAAGAAATTAAATAATGTAGAATATGCATGCATGTATATATGTTTGTCGTATTGTGATAAAACAACGGTACCTAGAGCCATCAAAATTTGAATAACGTTATCATCAATAGAATATGGGCGTATGTATAAACCCTAATTTGAACTTGAAGTATGTTTTCGTATCGATTTCGTATTTTGTAATACTTCATCGAATTTTTTATTAACAAACTCAAAGATTTCAAAGCGAGCAATGGCAACACTGTACGAAAAAAAAAACATTTTAATTTTCAGCGCGCGAGATTGTGTATATTCTAAAGATATGCTCATATTAAAATTATTTTGCGACATTGCTATTTAACTGAATTTTACGGTTTAAGTGTAAAGAACATGATATTTAATAAATAAAGGTTAATTTCACAAAAGATTTAAAAAACGCCCCTTTGGATGTAATTTAAAATTTAAAACCTTTCAGACTTTTTTTTTTAACTGTTTATGTCTTAACTTTGTTTATTAAACACAGCGTTTTCCTCTCTTACGCCACAAAAATTTCAACTCATAAAACATTTAAAAACAATTTGGCTTTAGCATTTCCAATAGAATATTAGAGATCACATACGTATTTTTATATTCCCTATATTATTTATAAAATATCTAGCACGCAGACTTCTAAAATTGTTATCATAAAAAAAGAAAGTGTACAATAATTTTAGTCAAACCAGCCAGTGTAACCTCATAGATATAAAGATGTCTAATTAGAAATATTCAATACTTAGAAATATTGAATATTTTTAATTAGACACTTTATTTTATGGTTTAAGTGCGATGAACATGATATTTAATAAAAAAAAAGGTAACACACAAAATGTTAAAAAACGCTCCTTTGGACATAATTTAAAATCTGAAACCCTTCAGATTATTTTTTGTAATAATCATTCTTTTTTCTTGTAATAAATTTCAGTATAATAATGTAAATTTTCTTTACTCATTTACAATTTCATTAATGTTACGCTTTATTATGTCTTGTATACCTAAATGTTTAAAAGCTTGGCAAGTAGTAGTCGTCTTTTACCAGTTTAGAACTATATTTTTTTTAGTAAAAAGGAAAATTTAGAATGAAATCATGGATATGTTTATCAAGCGCTATATTGCTAGTCCATGCACTTACCTTCATGATGTAATACAAATTGTCTCTAGGATCCTCAATAACAGATAAGCCTAGAAGTAGATTATCACTGGCTCCTGTTTGATGTATTCGAATGCGAGTATCAATCCAGTCGAAGGAGCTGGAATCCCAGTGTTCGCCTTCGAGTACCGGCCAACCACCGAGATCTTTCAGAATATTAATTAGCGGTTCCATGCCTGCTTCCTTAATGCTCTCTATGTGCAAAAACAAAAGTAAATGCCTCTTTTGTAATATAATTGCATTATGAAACATTATTTATTTAGTAATTATTTGATAGTACACTTTAATTAGTGACTTTAAGGAATGTTTAGTAGGTCTATTTAACGAAGCTGTTCAAAACCTTTCAGAACTTCCTGAAAAATACTAAAATAACATGGGAGAAATCACGTGTCTTTACCGGCGTTTTGTTCCCAACTGTTATATAATTATCGCATTTCCGTATAAAAACAGAGATATTTGTAGCAAATGTTTTATCATTGATATCTCTGGCCTGTTTTATAAAGGAGCTCAAAATGATTTACAAGTAATTTGAAGATAAATTAGTGTTATAGGTTAACTAATTGTAAAAATAGTACTTGTATTTTATTTTTGCTCATGTAAATTAATCAGATACATAATATTGTTGTTGACTCGGAATTTTTTAGCATTCTCCGAAACCTTTAGCTTCAGACACTTCCCTCCCTTTACGGCGTGTACTAGCCATTTTTAGGCTTTCGCTACTATTAGGGCCAAAAGCGGCTGTCATTTTATTATGTATGCACCTAATAGGAGGCCACCATCACCTCCTGTAAAAGGACAGACAATTTACATCCATGCTTTCTCTAGGATTCGAGCCCGGGCCCTTTGGTACTTTGGTAAGGCTCCCCTAACCACTATACCGTCTGGGAGGTATTCATCCTTCATTTGACGATTACATCGTTGTTTTAAGCGAAGTTAACAATAAATCTTCTGTTCCATTCACAACATTGTTCATCAAACGATGTAAATAAGATTTCATTAAATGCTGCAGACTCCGTAGCCCCCACCCGTATTTTTTGGAAGGACCAAGCAAATTATTTCTGTAGAAATGAAGAATCGCATTTTACAAGCTTGCTAAAGTTCAGGCAAGAACATCAATTTTTATGAGTGCTTGAGTATGATTACTCAGGACAAAACAGAACTCAGGACAAAAGCAGAATTCATCACACCATTGCGAAACTGTTAAATCTTCCTCATGTTGTAAGAATTCGGAGTCGAAAAAAGTTTTCTTTCATTCTACAGTGGTTTTACTTCTGTGTTTTGAACGGAAACTGAAAGTGAATTCATTGGCCTTAACTTTAGCTCAACTGTTAAGTCTACCTATATCGAAAGATGAATTATAACTATATATTTAAACCTTGATTCATAGAACGATTTGAAATTCGTCTTATGCACGATTGAAGATATTGTCTGAATTATTGGGCTAAAGTTATACATCTGGACACACAACGGATAGGCTTACGTTCGAAATAAAAGATAGTCCTATAGAATTCAAATTTCAGGATAATATAACAGTATTATACATCCATTGTACGTTTACCCTTATTCTGTTTCACTATTTCAGCCAAATTTTAATGCCTTACTTTTTAGCTTGAAAAAAATTACGTTTCTGAAAAAAAAAAAAAAAAAAAAAACCTCATGCTTCATTTGTCTCAAAATGCTATACAGTCAATGCAGTTCAACTAAACCACTGGCATTTTTTGGTTCCAATTTCTTTCAGATTGGAACCAATCTCATAGGCTAATACACACTTTAAAGGCTTTGTTGAGGCATTTTCGTATAACTGGGACAGTAGCAAAAAAGAAGTATAAGAATTTTTGGCACATTTTATAGACTGTTCGAAAATATGTAGACACAAGTACACTAAAATTTGAGAACACAGAGGAGATTCCTGGAAAGCTGTACCAGGACACTTTTAAAGCAACAAATGTTTGATTGAGTCAACCATCTGTTGAATTCCACTCAACAAATGGTTGAGTGGAAGGTCAGATTCAGTATCAAATTTTAAAAAGCGCTTGTCAAACAGGGCAGTAAAGATAATGTAAGTACTATTCGATGAAAAAAACTAAAATCGCTATTTTTTCAGAATTTCTGTTCAGATGATATTTACAACTTTGATGAAACCGGCCTCTCTTATCATGCTAAGTAAGACATCGTTCTGTGTTATAATCATACTTCCCTGTTAAGGTATAATAGCAATGAATGTCATTTCCTGCTATGTTGCGTAACTATGTTAGGCAGGCCCGACAACAGCCAAGCAATAAAGTCACGGGAGACTAGTATTTCTGTCCAGGGTTTAGATCTCAACGAACGAATTAGAAATTTCCCACCGGGTCATCGTTTATTTTAAAGGATACTATTGTGTGTATCGCTGCAATCAAATAGAAAGCCTATATTAGGTTTATACACATGAAAATTCCCAGTTTCACTAAAAATGCTAAGCCTTGCAGAAACTGGAGGTTACCGTGCCTAGACTAATGCATGAATGACTTCTCATATATTTTTTTTAATTGTCTTACGAGATCTGACGTAGAATTGCAATGCAAGGAAAAGAAAATTTTATCGCTTCTCGATAATCTGTTGCACACCTTTATTTAGATATCCAAACGATATATGAGTCTATAATTTCTTCCTCGTAACATCCTCAATGAAATCAATGGACACAGGAGTACTAAGTCATTTAAAGATGTTGCATCGAGGAAAACTACTGGCTAATTACGTACAGAAGCCCATTGATGAAAACCTATTAAAATGATTCATCAGCAAAGAGAAAGACCAGTGAAAAACTTTACATTTTTGCAAGCAATATAGTCGTTAAGAATTGTCGCTGATATTTAGGGAGCTACAAAAAGTAGCACGATATAAAACTGTTCTGTCTTTTTCAGTTTAAAACTCCTTAAATGATTAAGAGTCCCCAGAAATGACCCACCTGGTTTTGTGTCTACTCGTGAAGGGAAAAATTACAGTTGCGATAAGGCATTATTTTATGCAGGAAGATAATGAAGAAAGCCTTACATCTGCACTGAATTTACTTGTTGCTCTTATGGATCTGCTAAATTTCAGAAGGAAAAGATAGACTGTTTTTTGTATTATTGTAGAATTTAAATTTGAAATAATAAATTTATCATGAATGTATTATTTTTATGCACAGTTTATAATAAATATATTTTGTGTGTGTTTTTAATAAAGCAGTAAACTAGTTGACTTATTATTATTTTCCTTAAATAATCATTTATTTTCCTATAAATCACATATTTCATTTTAGAATTTATTATTATTTTGTATATTTGGCTTAGGCACAGAATAGTTCCAAAGTGTTCTGATTAAGCAGCATATATTGCATTTATTATTTTGCTTGCATTTACCAAACCCTGATAGGAGAGGCAATGCCAGATAACAATTCCTTCAATTTACAGAAATCAGGCTGCTGTACAAAATTGTATACAGATCACTGAACTGTTGCTCAGAAATGCATTGAGTAATGGATAATTGTGCTCCAATTTCTTAATTTATAAGTGTTAAACATTTCATTTAAAAATAAAAATGACTTAAATGGGTTTGAGTTGAATAAACTGGATTATGACACCTCATGGCATGCAACGGGAAAGAAAACTTTCGCCGAGCACATAAGAGAAACGGGCTTATATTCACGTTATATATCAAAACGAATCACGAAAATATACAAGCAACGAGATCGCTGTCGAGTTATGAATGTCCACCGCTTTGGCCGCCAGTGAGGCTTAACATTTGTAATAATATAAAATAAAATGTTGTCGGAATTTTGGAAAGCCTTACATATTGCGAAAATCTTTTGTTTTTTACAATAAAAGCTTAATTAATATATTTTTATCCCAAAGGGCTATTAGTCTCAAAACGGAATTTTGAGTCGTTTTACTTATTGCGTTGATGTACGTTGCAAACTGTTGCCACCAAACATTATAACCATGTATTAAATTTAATGAAACTAAATAATGAACAATCTTCATGAGCGCATCAATGCTTCTCGCACAGGGAAAAACTAACGGCACCTACAGCTGTCAAATTTTCAATAACGTACTCCTCCAACCGAACATGGGTACTTGGAATTCCAAGTTTCGAATTTGTTTTATTATCTGTTTCAAATTTTGTGAAATTTTAACAAGTTTCTGATTAACAAATTCAACGATTTCAAAGCAAACAATGACAATACTATACGAAAAAAAATATGTTTACCTCCAGCGCGCGAGACTGTGTATCGGAAATTTTAAAGATGAGCTGTTTTTAAATATTTTGTGATTTTGCTGTTGAATTGAATTTTATGTGGCTTAAGTGTGAAGAATATGATATTAGATAAATAAAGGTAACAAAAACAAACTTTAAAAAACGCCCTTTTGGGTGTAATATAAAATCTGAAAGATTTCAGATTCTTTTTTTTTTAATTTTATATTTTTATAACATGATGCACGAATAGGGAGAATACACCCCCTTTCAAGCATAAAAAATTCTTAAAAACTTACTTTCATCCATGCAGGAGTCGTATATTGCTTTCATCTTATGTACGAAATCAGGCTGCTCACCAGTTAACATATTTTCCAAGACAACTGGAAGTAAAATGGAAGTAGAAACAGTTAATAATTATGCATAACCTACAAATGCTTAAAATATTTATAAATGAATTTATTTGCATTTCATTAAAAGAAATCTCAGAATTATCAATATAAATAAAAGTGCTATAGTAAATGATTTAAAACGAAATCTTTTGAAAATATTATTTAGGAAAAAAACATTCTACAAAGTGAGAAAACGATATATAAGTACATCATTCTTTTATGCCTGTGAAAACTATATTATAGTAATAAGGCGTGATTGACAATTTAAATAAATCTCAACTTTATTAATTAACTTTATTTAACTCCCGTTACATTTATTTAACTCCTATTAACATTTAATAGTAATTTATTGAATACAAGACGTAAAATTGCATTATTTAAACATTTGAAAGCGAAATTTATGCAGGCTTTTAAAAAGCTTATGAAAAGTAACAATTATTACTTCTCTTCAGACAGAGATCGTATGAGCGCAGTTTGGTTGCGTAATTAGGTAACTCGGTGCAAAAAAAGATTGAATTTCTGCTTATCATTTTAGATACTATGACTATCTGTCTAAGGGAATGAATACCTTTGTGCAGAACGTTTAAAGTTACTTCTAATATGAATGTTACACATGTTAAAATTTAGGAAAAAGCGCATACTCTGGTAGCCAAGATTAGAATCTGTCCCAACTACCAGTGTTACGCAGGTCTATTCTATTTAAGGGCTTCTTCAGCACACATTTTTCTAATGTAAAGGTAAGATATTTGTTCACTAAGCTAATCTGGGTTATTTAGATAATAATAACATATAAAAAATGTATTGATTTTCATAAAAGCTATATTTACAGTGAGCTTTACATATATTATATTTACTGCTCATACGAACACTTTTACCAGTGTAGCTGAGTCAGAGGAGGTTAGAAAACATGAAGCAAAATATTACTGGAGAGTAACAGCATAAGTGCAACACAAATTGAAATATGAAGTGAAGGTAGCGGAGATGTCAGATTCATAATTAAAATACATTTTGATGAGGAAGGATGCATTTTGAAGTAAAACGTTAAAAAACAATGCTTGTAACATGTTTGGCTGAAGAATATTGCTTAATAAATTTGTCATATTTAACAATCATAGTTCCCAATATGATCAGTATATTTTAGCATGTTTGCAAGGCTGTATTGACTCAAATTACACATACTGACCAATGCGTTAGGAACCCAAGATCAATATTTCCTTGTGTCACCTTTTGCAAGGTGCATTTGATCTGCCAGTGCATTTAGGTACCTCCTGGTTGTTTGTTTACTCTCGAGGAAGACCAGGGCATCACTTCCATACCAGCAGAACATGCCCCATATCATGACACTCCCACCAGACCCTTGCACAGTGCGAGTAAGGCAAGATGGATTCATGACTTCATGGAGTTTTTCTTCAAATTCTACGTCTTTCCATCAGTGCAAAATAAAGTGTAGAGTGTGATTCATCCGACCACATTACCCGTTTCCAATTTTCAGATGTCCAGTGTGTTCTTTCCCGACACCATTGCAAACAAATTCTTCCATGTCGGGCAGAAATGAGGGTTTTCTCACAGGAACCCGACTAAGCATTCCTATCCTCTGCGCATAGTCCGAGCTGAAAATTGTTGGGAAGAGCCTTGGTTGACGATCTGTGTCAGTTGAAGCTCAGGAGAATATTTGTTCTGTCGTACAATTCGTCGGAAACGACGTCGATCACTCTCTTGGAAAACTGTGTTCGAACCTCAGTTGCGTCTTCTAGAAAAGGACTGTGGTTTCTGATTCCAACTTTTGAAAACCTTTGAAATGGCTGCTTTTGAGAAGCCAGTGAGATTTGCTATCTTCGAAATCGAAGCCACTGTTAAACGGGCACCAAGCACCAACAATACGCCTTTTTTTCAAATGGTGAAAGATCTATGATTTTTCCCATTTTACTTCATTTATCGTAAAAAGCACTCTTACATCTTACTTATACTAGTAGTCAAACCACGTGTAACCCACGTCAGAAAAAAAAAACACATTGCATATTTCATCCCCAGCAAGCGTTCAAATGAAAATCTCAGAAGTTTCTAATTCATTGGCCAGTGTGTGTATTTGGATTCTAGAAATTCAAAATTGCGCTTTTTCGGGTCGCTTGTCTTTCATTTCAGACCAAGTAAACATAAACTCTGTTTCAACTAATTTCATTAATTTTACTGATCTATAAATAAAGAAAAATATACAAAAGTACAGGACATTTTTAGATTATTATGAGGAACGAGTGTATTAGGCCTGCAATTTTCGTTACGTACGCAACCTATAAACTTTAATGAGACATGAATTATTTAGTTTGTATACACCTGTTGTTTTTTATTTATTCCGCAACTTAACACTGTTTCATGCCAGAAGCTTTAATACTATATTTATTTTAATCAATATTCCTTATTCCAATAATCAAGTAAAATGATACGTTTTATTTACGTTTCATTCCTTTGAATTGGCGAATTCGATAAAACTAAATTTTAATTTTTAGATTTTCTTACTGCACTTTTGAGTATGACCAAACTCAAGCATGGGTAGAGTATTATTCCTCATTAAATTCTTTTGCATTCATAAAAACTAAGCTTCATTTCCTCCCTTTTCACAGTATTTAATGCGTTACACCTCCATCTGTGTTTTTGGCTAATGTTAAAATACATTCATCATTATCGACATGAAAAATCCTTTTTACCTCTATCAGATTGCTGCAGTAAAAATGTAATTTCCTTCTAGAAGAGACTGCTAAAAGAAGCCTTTCTGTCTAACTCCATATAATATTCTAAGTTGCAGGAAGAGATATTGCCTCTGTTGCAGAAAGAGATATTAAGCCCAGAACAAATAATAATGTAATTAAAAAAATAAATCAGGAAGCAGGTCTGCCTTCTTTTACACAGAACATGTTGGCAACTGCCGTTGATTCCCCTAGCGCATGCGCGTGATAAGCAAGTTCTCTGCTGCGTAATACTTATACTTAGTTAATAGTTAGTTAGCCAAAGTCAACGGTGAGTATTGCATGTAAGAGAGAAGGGCTAAGCACTGTGTAATATCATGTTTCTACTCTGCTGTTCAACGTCTTCGTAGTTGAAATAAATGTTTGTTATGTACATAGAAGACGTCATTTTATTCTTCATAGGTTATGGGCCCAGATAGCGCTTAACTGTGCAGTGCAACTACCATTGTTAAATTCTTTCGGCAAGCCAAGCTGCGTCGACTGAAATGAAAATGGCGACGACTAATACAGTGTCAATTGAAAAGCTAAACAAGGACAACTTTGATACGTGGAAGTTGCAAATGGAAGCAATACTGATTAAAAATGATCATTGGGACTATGTAACTGGGAAAATTCCGAAACCAGAACCTGGTGATGAAGAATTTGCTAAATGGAAAACTACTGACCAAAAAGCACGAGCGGATATAATCCTATCCATCTTACCCAGTGAACTTCCACAAGTAAAGAATTGTGTAACATCTCACGAACTGTGGCGTAAATTGCATTCTATTTACGAATCGAAGGGACCAGCTAGAAAGGCCACAATTCTAAAAAAATTGCTTTTTACAAAAATGAGTGATTCTAAACAAAATGACTGTTCATCTAAATGATTTTTTCATTCTTGTGGACAAACTTAAAGAAATGGAAATAAACATTGCAGGATGATTTGCTTACAATATTGCTTTTATATAGCATACCGGACTCTTATGAAAGCTTTCGAATAGCCATCGAATCTCGTGATGAACTGCCTTCTCCAGAAATGCTGAAAATTAAACTGTTGGAAGAAGCTAACGCTCGCAAAAATAAAGATTCATCGTTTTCTGAACCACAACATGCATTCTATTCAAAAGATCGGGAGTATACTCAACGACCGGTTCCTAAACCGAAACCAGATAAGTCTGCAAACCGAAGACAGTATCCAGTTAACTACAGATGCAACTTCTGCCATATCTATGGGCATAGAGCATCGGAATGTAGGAAGAAAAGTAAAGAAAACTAAAAGCAAACGCCTCAGTGAAACTGCGATGTCTGCAGAAATTCGGAATTCCTTGGAGCGAAGAAAAGCCGTAGCATGCACTAATAGTAATTCTAAAGACATTTTTTGTCTGGATAGTGGTGCAACATCGCATATGTGTAACAGCAAGGAACTGTTTCAAGAAATTCACGAGGTAGGTGACACTTATGTTAAATTAGCTGCTGATAAAACTGTTAAAGCTATTGGAAAAGGAACTGTTAAATTTAAAGTTCGCATAGGTTCTAAAACTGAAAATATCAAACTCAAAAATGTATTGTGTGTACCTGATTTGAAAAATAATTTAATCTCAGTGTCTAAAGTAACTGAAAATAATCTTTCAGTAATTTTCAAAGAAAAATGTGCTCAAATAATTAATTCTAATAACGAAACAGTAATTTTAGCTAAACGCGAAAATGATCTTTATTTTGTCATGCCAATATTTGAATCTGTATCAATTGCTAAAGAAATAGATCAGTGGCATATAAGATTTGGCCATTTAAATGAAAATGATCTTAAAAAACTTCAAATAAATAACATGGTTAGAGGTCTTTCTTTTTCTCAAAATGACTCTCTTTCTACTTGTAAGGTATGCATTCAGGGTAAACAAACCGCAACCCCCTCTTCCCAAAGAATCTGAATATAGAAGTACTGAATTGTTGAAATCTAATTCATTCTGATTTGTGTGGTCCCATGAGAACTGAATCAATAGGTGGATCATTTTATTTCGCAACATTTATCGATGATAAATCTCGATATGTTCGTGTTTATTTTCTGAAATCTAAGGATGAGGTTAAAGAGGCTTTCAGAAATTTTAAAGCATCTTTTGAAAATAAACTTAACTCTAAAATCAGAATCCTGCGAACCGATAACGGGCTAGAATATTTAGGGAAAGACTTTAATAAATTTCTTAATGATGCGGGAATAAAACACGAAATGAGCACTCCTTACACGCCAGCCCAGAATGGCGTCGCCGAAAGATTAAATCGCACTTTAGTTTCAATGGCGCGATGTTTGTTATTGCAATCCAATCTGCCTCAGAAATTCTGGGCCGAAGCCGTCAATACGGCTGCTTACATTCGAAATCGCTGCAAACGCGAGGTTTAAAAGCCGAAATAAAAACCTTACGAAGTGATGTTTGGCAGAGTACCAGCTGTCTCTCACTTCAGAACCTTTGGCCAAAAAGCATTTTCGCTAAATAAAAGGCCAGGAATAGGCAAATTTGATATTCGATCTAAAGAATGTATTTTTATTGGCTATTCTGATGAATCAAAAGCGTATAGACTTTGGGATCCCGAGGCACGTAAAGTGATAATAAGCAGAGACGTAAAATTTATTAATGAGTTTGAAAACTGCTGTAGTTATGACTCAGAGCAAGAAATAAATCTGCCTTTCGCTCCGGAGGAAAAAATTATAAATAAAACATGTTGTGAAAAATCATCACCTCTGGACGGCAGCGAGTCGCCACTTGACTCTGAATCTGAAAAGGAAAGCGGAAGTGATTTAGATAGCGAATCAATGCTTCCTATCCTGATTAAAAGGGGGCCTGGTCGACCCAAGAAACTAAAAACAGGTTTGCCAGGAAGGCCTAAAAAGGACTATCGTTATACAGTTGTAAATAAAAATGAACAAACTCAAAATGCTGTTGAGGAAAGCATTAATCCTACGGTGCAAGAAGCATTAAATGGACCATATGCTGAAAATTGGCATAATGCCATGCTGTTAGAATATAACTCGCTTGTTCAAGAAAAGGCTTGGGAATTAGTAAACAGACCTGAAAACAAGAAAGTTATTGGTAGCAAATGGGTTCTTAAAATATAATCACGACGGCACTATCGAAAAATACAAAGCTAGGCTAGTTGCTAAAGGGTGCGCTCAAATCCCTGGTCTCGATTTCACTGAAAACTTTTCCCCTGTTGCTAGATTAAGTTCCATAAGAACAGTTTTAGCCTACGCAGTAGAACACAATCTCAAAGGTTACCAATTAGATTTTGTAATGGCCTATGTAAATGGAAATTTAGATGAAGAAATCTACATGGAAATTCCCGAAGGTTTTCGCGGTAAAACTAATTCAGATAAAGTATGTCTTTTAAAGAGATCATTATACGGTCTTAAACAGTCAGGACGTCAGTGGTACAAAAAGTTGGATGAAAAATTGAAATCTATGAAATTTAAATCTCTTAATTCAGATAATTGTGTTTATATTAAAAAGACGCCTAACAGTGAAACTATTATAATCGTTTATGTAGACGATCTTATCGTTTTTACCGATTCTCAAGCAAACGTATGAAACAATTCGCGATAGTTTAGCTTCTGCTTTCAAAATGAAAGACTTGGGAAAATTACATTATTGCTTAGGAATAGAATTTTACCAAAATGAGAATTCAATTAAAATTTCTCAAAAGAAATACGTTGATGATATTTTAAATCGGTATAATATGCAAAATGCTAAATCCGTGTCTTCACCTATAGATAACAGCAAAAAATTATCAAAAGAGATGAGTCCTAAAAACGAAAACGAAATCGCTGACATGAAAAATGTTCCATTTAGAAATCTGATCGGATCACTAATGTACCTTTCAGTAGCTACTAGGCCAGATATCACATACGCCGTGAATTTCTTAAGTCAATTTAACAACAATCCGGAAAAGAACATTGGCATGCTGCGAAAAGAATACTTCGATATCTAAAGGGAACACAAGATCAAGGACTAATTTATACGAAAACAGGAAAACCACTCATCGCCTTTGTGGATGCAGATTGGGCATCAAATGTCGATGATAGAAAATCTTACACCGGTTTTGTATATATATATTAAGTGGTTCAGCTATAACCTGGGAATCACGAAAACAACGCAGTGTAGCTCTATCTTCAACGGAGGCGGAATATATGGCTTTGTCTGAGGCCGCCAAAGAAACCGTCTACCTACGTCGTTTTTTGAAGGAGCTGGGTTACAACATAGAACACCCAACAACAATATACTGCTACAATCAAGGAGCTCAGAAAATTACAAAGAATTCTGTGTTTCACTTCCGTACAAAGCACATAGACATTCGCCATCATTTTGTGCGTGAAGTGTATGAACGCGGTGAATTAGATGTGAAGTACATATCTACCAGTGAAATGGGAGCTGATGTGTTAACCAAACCCCTGACTCCTGTTAAACATCAAAACTGTTGTACAATTGTAGGATTAAATACTGTTTAATATGTATTTTGTTTTACTTTTCAGGAATAGGAGAATCAACGTCGAAAGGGGGTATGTTGGCAACTGCCGTTGATTCCCCTAGCGCATGCGCGTGATAAGCAAGTTCTCTGCTGCGTAATACTTATACTTAGTTAATAGTTAGTTAGCCAAAGTCAACGGTGAGTATTGCATGTAAGAGAGAAGGGCTAAGCGCTGTGTAATATCATGTTTCTACTCTGCTGTTCAACGTCTTCGTAGTTTAAATAAATGTTTGTTATGTACATAGAAGACGTCATTTTATTCTTCAGAACACATACAGTAAAAAAAGAGCTATACATCATTTTTAAAAGCGTTACAATGTATGTGTCATCTTTCAAGGTAAAATTGTAATCTGTTTGTATGGCTTCGTAATTTAGGGCAGATTTCTCATTGGAGACATGTACACGTAATGCATTTTCGAGAAGACTTTACAGATACATTGTGAGTGGTCATGCCCTATTTCGATTGCAACATGAAAGTGTCTAGGATTTTGTTTGATTACCGATGCCTCGTAACTTTTGGGAGAAATGGGAAATGTGCGTCGCTTTTGCATCGGTATTCTGGAAGAGGTGAAAAAATGAATTTATGCATTCGCTAGCGATATTTAGATCTGTTTCCTCGTGCTATTAGTGATTAATTGTCGAGACCTTTAGAATGGCAAAAAACAGTTTGGTTTGATTTAGTTGATTATGGCAAAACACACTAGAGCTATCTGCTTAAGGAAAGGGATGTCTTTATATGTGGCTTTCTATGGGAAACTGGTTCGTATGGACATTACACGTGGGGAAACCCACAAAACGCCCATGTAACCATCCCATGTGCATGGAAATGAAACCAGGTTGGAACTACCGGTTTTCAGTGATTTTACCTCTCGGCCGCTGGTTGGCATTCAGAAGAAGGAATATAGATCCTCTCCAAACATTTCATGATAGAAGAGACTGCAGTGTGCTCATACATTTAAAGCAAGCTTGTCTGTAAACGCAGTTGTTCATATTAGTTTTAATTTTTAAATAAAGTTCATACTGTTTAACAAAACAAAATTATATATCTGTCTATAAATTTCTAGATAACAATTTATGTTTCACATGTTCACCAGTCACGGTTTCTCAAGGTTATCAGTGTCACTTGCAGTGAAATTACTTGACAAGTACATTTCCTCACCTCTCATTCTGCGCTTGCTTTCGTCACCAAGTTCCCGCAGAACAGTGATGTCATGCTTATGTCTACTTATCCAACCACCGCAGGCGAACCGATAGAAATCATCACAAGGTTTCACAGATTCATCTAAATTAGATAGGATGTCGTCAGCTACAAAGAAAGAAAAAATCAATAAAGTGCACGAGGGTGATTTCATTCCTCATTGTTAACGTCTATTTTAAAATAAATTATTAAATTTAATAAATCTGAAATTTTGAGAAATTTGAAAATTTGTAATTTGTTTTCAAAAGCAGAGGTGATTACTCTTAGAAATATGCATACACTTTAAACAGAAATTGGAACGTTTCGATAAAAAAATTTACTTATTACAGAACGTTCAGCATATTCTGAGCAAAAATACTTAAAATTTAATAATTGGAATTTGTATTACATATGATTATTATATAAATATTGATTAATTTCAACTTAAACATTTTAAGTGCATAATAAACTAGAATTATAATTTGTAAATACTCTGGCTTATCAATTTTCCTATGTTACGTGCTGTTTTTTCACTGGATATACAGATGCTGTAGGGTTTCCTTATTTTACATAACAAATTTATTTTAAGTTTGATACCTTTACTGAACTTCTCTACTTCCCCTCACGTTTTCTCTCCAGGATGTAAATTTAAAGTTAAGTGAGTATTTAAATGGGTAATTATCTGAGTTTATTCCCAGCGTATTTTTGCTAGCCAGGGCACGTTTCATTGTTATTTCGCTGTTACGCTAGTAAGCCTCTTGGCCATTCTAAATTTTCATCAAGCCTGTTAGATTTTGAGTCAACCTGTTAGGCGTATTTTAATATGCTAATCCAGCCCTGCACTGTTTTAGATTTTGACTTGAATTATTCTACGTTTCAGTTTCACCACACGTTGACGGTGTCATTGTAAAGCAAGAAGATCGTGCCTTTTTGTTAATTACTTGAACAAAATAAAGGGTTACTTTCCACCCTTCTTCTGTGCTGGTAATTTTGGTTTGTATCTTTTAATAAAACTACAGTTAAAGAACTAAATATCAACTGCTTTAATGCATGACGGTGTCTTACAAGTCTCAGATACATTTAGCAATTGAAACAGATCTCTGTCTCCGGGCAGGTCAATAGCTACATCTGAATCTAGAGGAGAACAATATTTCACTTACTATTTATTCATTAAAATACACAGTTCATGAAATCTTCATGTAAAAATAAAGCATTAATAATATATATATGATATAACAAAATATGATAGCTGCTTTAAAAAAATTATTGGCGACGTACAAATTAACATTCTAGATTTGGTATCTCCATTTAAATTCATCTGTTCTTCCATATTCCAGATTTGTCTATGTTATGTAACGTTTTAATGCAGATACCTCTTGTCCAATCAAATTAATCGTAAATCAAAACTTTCTCTACCTCCAACTGAAACTAGCGATTCCCTCTCTTCTTCCTCTGAGTTGCAGCGTACTCTTTCGCTTATGCTTTCCTGCTGGCAACACGCTACCTTTCCATGCTGCTGCTTATTTGTCTAAGATGACGTCGTACTTTAAAATGGAACTTATAGTATTCTTATATAATTTAAAAATATGTTGTCTGCAAAAGTATGATTTGATATACGTAAAAAAAAATAAAGATTGTGATTCTTCATGCTCAGTTGTGCTAAATGTGTCATCATGCTTTTCCACTCGGCCCTACCTTCAAGCCACTGCGGTCTTTTCGGCCATCTACGCACTATCGAAAGCTGTTAAAAGTTTCAATGTTTTCATCTACAAATTTGGAATCATTATATATATTTATATGTACAAGGTATACCTTAAATGTTGCTGCAACAAAACTTCTAAAGGAGGTAGGGCACAGCATGAGGATTAAGAAGAATTGTATAAGAACCCATGCCCGGAAATGTCAGGGGTAAGTGGTAGCAGAGGCAGAAGACGGAAAAAGAAACAAGAGTGATTAATTTGAAACATTTATTGAAAATGAATACAAATGGCGTACGACAGCTTGAATGTTACAACAGATGTGCACCATCAGACGCCAAACATGCCTGACACCGACGGACCATTTGAATGCTGCGAGTTATTTGATCTTTCTGTAGCAGGTTTTCTCGATTTGCTTGACGATGTTCACCCAAATTTGAGGCGCAACATGTGATTCCAAAATGATGCGACCCCTGATCATTTTGAACTGGATGTTCGTAGCCATTTGCACAGATCATTCCATAATCCATGGATTGGGCGTGGTGGACCAGTTGCCTTGCCTCCTCGCTCACCGGATTTTATCGAGCCTTGATTTCTTTTTGTTCGAAAGTGTCGTGTATCACGATGTTGTTGTGTCTGAAATGGATCTCGTGGCAAGACTCGCCTGCGCATCTGCCACAATGAAATCCCGGTATGTTTGAACATGTACATTTGTATTCATGTCCAATAAATGTTTCAAATTAATCACTAATGTTTCTTTTTCCGTCTTCTGCCTCTTCTACCAGTTACTCCTGACATTTCCGGGCATGGCTTACTATGCAATTCTTAATCCTTATGATGTACCCTATCTTCCCTAGAAGTTTGTCACAACATTTACGGTACACCCTAAATATATTTATGTATATTTATATATAGAGAGAGATATTTACGAAACCAGTAGACAAGAAGAATTATATAGTATTAAACAGAAATAATATATGTATATATATATATATCCGCGTTTCCGAAGCTACTTTGAAAATATGGGACAAATTGTGAAACAGCTACAGTTAGCTGTAGAAAGAATTAAGGTTTGTCCTTTGTTGGCGAAGAAATTAAGTAGAGTTGCGTTGAAGAGAAATAAATTGAGACAATTGTCGAAAACGGTCACAAAAAAAAACTTTGCAGCGATGGTTCGAAATAGGGATTTTTTTAGTTTAATTAAATCTCTGATAGCAGTAAGAAACAGTAGAAAAGAAATAAAGGAACAGAAAAACAAGAGCTGCTAAAGCTCCGGCTGCAAAAGGACTGCAGGAGAAAGCGGTTGGTTAGTCGCAGATTTTTGATCGAGCAAAATTAGATACATTTTTTATAATTACATTGTTACATAAGTTACACATCTGCCTTTTTTCAATATCAAGTTAATGAAATAAACAAGTTATATATATATATATTTGGAAGTATGGGGAAAAAATGGGGATTCGTTCTCAAGATCTGAAATTTGTGTAAAATTGTTTTCAATTTAATTACAGTAACTTTTTCAGATATGTTGGAATTCCAGTGGATAAGTTATTCGCAGTGAGTTTTGAAAGGTCCCCTTTTATCAGCAAATTTAATCCTCCGATGATTAATAATGTTTTAATCGAGAAAGTAAACTTACCTCTGGTTTAAACTGGTTTTATTAAGGCAGCTGGGTAAATTTTCTACTTTCTAGAAATCTATCATTTTCAGTGTAAACAATATTGTCAACGTACGTGAATGTTAGTGTAATTAAATTTATTTTTGATACGATTATCAATATTTTGTAAAATTAAAATTCCTTAATGAAAAGGCAGATACTGCAAATTTGTGTAGAATAATATTCTCCTCATGAGAATTTTGCTAATTATAAAATATTATCATTAAATACAAAACAAGTGAAATATACTTGTTGGAGAACTGTCAGATCCTAGAATGACATGTAATTTTAATCTCAGAGCATGTAATTTTAATTTCTTGGAATTTATAAATATAACATCAAAATGGTTAGTTTTGACCTTTTCCCTGACGATGTAAAACTTCGAAACATTTCTAATACGTTGCAATTTTTTAATTAATTTCGCTTTTTAGCTATGATTTTTGGCCAGTTTTGGGCTCCGCGTTTTCAAAAAACTTTATAATAAGGCACCACGCTACAACTTCATTTTTTTTTCAAAATTTTTTGGTTTTATCTTTTTATTATATTTTGTATGTATTTAAATTATTACAAATTCTTTCTTGTTATTTGGAAGTAGCAGATTTATTTATGTAATTTATATTTACCTATCTATCAATATCTATATCTATCTATATCTATATCTATATATATAAGTGTCCTGGAGGGCCAGTCCACCCTCGGATGGCCGAAAGAAAATTTTTGTGGGGATTTTAAACGATGAACAAATTAATTAACGAAAGACATTTTAATTAGACAAACGATTATTACATAAATTTAACATTTAAGAGAATTAAACAAGTAATGATTCGTCAAAGTTCTTTTTGAACAGAAGCAGCGTCTCTGCTTCCACGTCAATCGTCTATCATCTCAAAACGGTAATTCCCCTAATTTTTGCTTGGCGCCTTCGCAGCTCGTAGAGAGAATGACGTCACGGCATCTGGTTTTCATCACAGCTCCAAGCGATCGGCACTACATATATATATATTGAAAAGAAAAGGAAAGTTAAAAATTTAAAAAAAAGTTTTAAAGTACATTTGATGCAGCTAATTCCTAAGTTGACATGTAATACCTTGGTGTTATTTACATGTTATAACTTGGTGTTACATATCAACTTTCATTGCATTCAATATACTTTATTGCTTTAGCCAATTTTTAACTTTCCTTTTCTTTTCAACCTGTTTTAAAATTAGCAGCTCAACGCACAATTTTTGACCAAATAGGTTTCGCAACTTTTTTTAATTTACTACTTTCTACTTATATATATATATATATATATATATATATATATTATTAGAAGTAAGTGAGTGAGTGAGATTTTTTTGCGCAAAACCAAAAATGATTATTATGCGCCAAGCGCGAGTATTAGAAGTAAGAGGAGCGTTTAATAGCTTATACTAAAAAGTACATTTGACTCTATAGTTCCTTAGCAAAAATGTAAAATCATTCAATAACTAGAAACAATAATAAAGTAGTAAAAGCAATCTCGGGAAACCTAAATATTAAAATTACAACTGAGATGATTTGAAAATCAAAAAGGGGTGAGAAAAAATTAATAAACTTTAACTCACAAATAATTTTAAAAGGACTTTCGTAGAATTTAAACATATCACAAAAATACATGATATGTACAAAAAATAGCAACAAATGGTAAATAGCTTAATTCGAGGCTTGAGTTCAATTCGATTCGAGGTTTTATCTCAATTCGAGGATTTATCTATACAATGCACTCAATTCGAGGCTGTATCTCTCTCTCTCTCTCTCTCTATATATATATATATATATGTATCTGTATCTATCTATCTATTTATCTATATATAGAGAGAGAGATAGCAAAATGAAAAAAAAGTACCTTTAAAATTCATCACATAGCCAATTCGAATAAGTCATATGCTTTAAAAAAAATAATAATTACATTTAAATGAAGTCCAAAAAGGAGCGGGTTTTTTTAACGTTTTGTGTGCTACTTTTATTTATTAAATATCATGTTTGCACTTAAACCGTAAAATTCAGTTAAGTAGCAATGCCGAAAAATAATTTTAAAATGACCCTATCTTTAGGATTTCCGATACACAGCTCCGCGCGCTGGAGATAAAAAGTTTTTTTTTTTCCACCGTAGAGTGTTACCATTGCTCGCTTTTAAATCGCTGAGTTTCTTACTCAAAAATTTGTTAAAGTTTAACAAAATATTAAATCGATAATGAAACAAATTCCACATTTCAAATTTGGTCTTCTACATGCTTATATTCGAGGGAGGATTACGTCATTCAAAATTCGATGGCTGTATGTACCGTTGTTTTATCACAATGCGAGAAATATACATACATTTAACGCAGATTTTTCGTTATTTAATTTCTTCAAACATAATGCAGGACTCTCACATTTGGTGGCAACAGTTTGAAAAGTGAAACGGACATTTATGGTGAGTCAACGCAAAATTGCAAAACGAAAACAATAGTCCTTCATGGACAAAGCCCCTTTGGACTAAAAACTAGAAGCACAGCTGTTAATTGTAAGAAGTGGGGAAGAGGAAAATATGCCAAAACCCAAAATTAAAGAAATATAAAACTTACATCTTTCGCGGCATCGTCTTTAGTGGTTAGTGCGATGAAATAAATAAAGAGATAAAACAGCTTGTTTCTGAATAGCCAACGATACAAAGTAAAGTTTATCCCAGCACTAGAAATAATCTGTGATTTTAATCAGATCACTGATAAAGGCATACATTACATTTATTGTTTCTCTAATAAGACTACTTTCAAATTTTATATTTTAATTTTTGTCTTTGCGGATTCAGAGACAAAAGTTCTACTTCTTTATGTTTTTCTTTGCAATGCTTCTTGCGTTTTTAGAGCCATTGCTATGTTCTTACTGATAAGTAACTAATATCTTAGTAATACTTAAAGCTCTGTCTTAGTAATTCTTTCTAAGATAGAGCTTTGGTCCAGGAACACAAAGCTGGTGGCCGATGGCCACCTGAGTACATGAACTTCACAAAAAATGAGCAAGTGCTGTATCAAGAACGAAACAAAGGCGATAGGATTGTTTTTACAATAACGACTGGTAAAAAATGTTAGATGTTTACCTTCTTTCTCGCCTAAGGATGCCAAACAAAGATCACTGCCAGAAATGACGCTGAGCGGAGACATTGAGAGATTTCTGGTCTTTGGGACATATAAATTTATGCTGTGATCTGAAAAAAAAGGTCGTACATCTTAGAATTATCAAAGCTTCGTTTATTAATGCACAAAATATCCCATGAAACCTCCCTAAGACGATAATTTCAGTGTTCCAAATTATTTTTTGGAGTGGTCATTTGAGAGAACATTTTAATGAAAATTTTCAGTACAATTATTTAGTTATGTGTTTAGAAATATTGGCGAATTTCAAAAAACGTCATCCTAGGGAGATGGTCATTATTAGAGGCTTTATTGCATACAGATATATGGCTATTTTTCAACTGGCTTGACACTTACGTAATAAAAGCTCCAACAAACAGCTTTTTAAAATTGTTCTGGACTTATTAAGGCTCGGTTTCGATTATTCTGCAGTTATTATTCGTGCTTTTAAAAGCCTTTCTAAACACAGTGAAAAGTGTTTGAGGGAACACAATTGCATTGTGGTTGTAAATAATATACAAAAAACAAACTACTTCACTAGGAAAGAGGAACTTGAGAGTTCCATTGTTTTATTTCTAGTTTTCACATTGGAGCTTTTCGTTAAAAACAAGACTTTTGATTTTACGTTTTACGTGGTTCCAAGCTTGATTTATAATATGGAGGCTGATGAAGTATTTTTCGTTTGATTTGAGAATATAATTATTTTAATTTAATTTAATCTACTTTTAAATTAATTGATTTTAAACCACTTTTATGGGTTTCGTAACTAAATTCAAGATTCAAAACGTGCGCCTATAACGCTAATGTGTGTTATCGATCATTGGTAAAGTTTAGTGTTTTCACTCATCAAAGCAAAAGGTATTTGTGTTTCAAATTTAATCAGATACCTCAGGAATAAAAAACAAGTGTGTTGCTACTCGCAATACAGTTTTCTTTTGAATTTAATATCAAAACTCAGCGATTTAAAAGAAATAAGTTACCACTATCAGAATTAAAATACTTTTACCTTATAGACGATAGTGTTTTGTCATTCAGAGAAGAATAAGTTATTTAATTTTCCTTCCAAACTTCTGTAGTTCATTAACAAAGAAAGCTATTTAAAAGTAATTAACACAGGTTCATTCAATTATTATTAATTACTAACTAGACCCGTGAAATTGCATTAGCCGGACTTATTTTAATTTTCTCTCTATATATATTGCGTACATTTGTTTGATTGTGTGCATAATTCATACAAATCTAAACTTTTTTTCCGATCTTGATGAAATTTTGCCAGCTTCAAAAAGCATTTTTTAAAAATAACTATTAATATTTCTACACATTTTTAGTTTTGAAATCCTCTCACCCACCTCAGGTCACGTCACCGTTATTGTGTTCTCACTATCAGTTTTTACTCAAAGCCTTAAATGGAGTAGTATGCATTTATTATTTAGAACAATGCAGAATCCTCAAAGCCAAATTGAAGTGCGTTGTGTATTTTCTTCGCGAATATTTTGAAAATCCTATAAAGATTGGACAATGTGGATGCTGAATTCCGAAAACTCATTTCCAAAGAAAAGATATAACAGATAGCAAAGGTTGCACCAGGTTCTTGGTAAAACAGTTAGATGACACCGTGTCAGCTCTATTTTGCTCTCCTCGAGTTTAATAGAATTTTGAACACTCATCTTCAACCAAAACAACATAAAAATTACTATTTGCTTTGAGATTTCGAAAAAACTACCTACATTTCCCGAAATAAAGTAAAGGCTACAGTATTATCTGTACAGTGTGTTATAGTGATAAGTTGTCGCAGAAATGTGGGAGGGAGATAAGGAGCGGCGGAGAAGGAATAGGTAGGAAGGGCTTAAAGTGTGTAACTGGTGTCGTTGCAAATGCGGTCAAGAAGCAGAGAATAACATTATTCTGCTTTAAACAATGGGGTTTTTTTAAGTACTCTGCATAACAATGATTGGTAATAATAATCATAGCATCACTAAGAATCATTTTCTGGATTGCGTTGATTTTGTACATTGTTATAAATGATATTACATTTTCCACTATTGTACACTTATTTCGCTAATTCTGTAATGCTTATTTCTAAAAAGGCTTTTCTGTCACCAAGCCATTTTCTCTTTGAAGGGAGGGGGAAGGGGAGAATATATAAGATAAAAATATGTGAATCAAAATAATTTAAACTAACAGGTTCAGGTTCAGGTTGTAGTGCAGCGGACACTCAATGTTTTACCATAGGTAATGTGAGTATTGTGCAACTGCACTATCTTTTTATTTGAACACTATAATTTTTTGAAAGAATTTTGACATATTTACATTTTTTCATATGATTACAATATAGTTGTGACGTATGGTGCCTTTCATACTCGAAATCATAATTTAAACTAACAGTAAAACTTTAACCCTCCCTCTCTGTTCTAAAATTAGTAATAACTTTTCTTGATTGTTTCATTTCTAGATCATTCCATTTTGCATGGTCTGCACTGTGCTGATGACGTAATAATTGGGAACTGAAAATTATTAGCTCAAATCGAAACCGTTCTCTTCGTGTGCTTCCATCTTGCATAGCTACGCACTTCAGCTTCTATCTCTGCTCTGCTTGGACGTAATTTTGCTATGTTGCTTCCTCTTGCAATAATATCATAAATGTTCTTGAACAGCCATGGCTAGAGTGCCAAGCGAACTGTGGTCACAAATATCAATTACAAATAAAAAGGGGAACATATTAGCAGACTCCGCAATCAGAGTTCTTCCTTTTCTATATGGACCTACATACGCATCGACAGTGCTGCGTCTTTCCTTTGCATATATTATATATATATATATATATATATAGCTATATATATAGCTAAGGTACTATACAGGAAAATGAACCCGAAAAATGTTAATCGACTCTTACCGAACTCTAAAGACGGGTGTATCAGAGAGAAAATCGCAATTAAAATCGGTTAAAATGGTATTTTAGGTAATTATAACTAATCACAGTTAGACTGCAATATTTGAATATGAATTATTTGAATATTTAAGGAAAAAAATAATGACTGTGAAATTAGAAAAAGATTTTTGGTTTGGAATCCCTTTCTTATAGAATGCTGATAAACTCATTTTTACGCAATGATAACTAAAAGTTATTAGCTAATTAATCTGTACTCTGTCGATTATCGCAGTTCAATCTGTATTAATATGCCATTTTTTAAAATTTAAATGCTTCAAGAATAAATAGAAAATGACCTAATTCTCTCCTTACCCTTAAATTCTTCATTTATAAAACTGCATTTTCAGCTGTAATCAAGTGAAATAATTCTCTAAATATAATTCAATGCAGAAAACATAAGATACACAAATGGCTTAGAATCAGCTGTGAGATTATCTTTAGGAGGTATGATGAATCTTACAAAACTAGAAACCGAAGTAATTCTGTAGAATAATTCATTTCAAAAGAGCAAATCAGATTAATCACTGATTTGCTCTTTTCAAAGACATGTAAATATAATATACTATATACTAAATATAAACATACATACACATATTATATGCGGGGTGGAGGATCACTAGCGGCTGAGTGGTAAAGCTGTTGAGCACTGGTAGTTCGCTCTGGGTTACAAATTCCGATGAACGAGATAGCTGTGTGTGCGTTTTCGTGGATTAGCCCCATGTGTAACGTGTACAATAGCCAACTTTTGCTTAGAAAGTCCTCCACGGCGGCATCCTTACATTTAGGCAGATAACCGTCGAGTTCCATCCTATTATCACATAAACCAGAATAAACCAAGCCTTCATTTTACTTTTGAATTTCTGTTGTACTCAAGTCATCACCCTCCAATTATGTTTTTCAGGTGCTGAACGGGAGAGGATTAGAAAATTCCACTGAACTTAAAAGAGAATTTTCGAATTAAGTTTTTAGGAATTTATACTGCTTTAATAACTCTAATTAATTTTATGTTACAAATATGTAAATTTTGTTTTTTATGACAACTAACTTTTATGGCTTCTTTTATATTCTCTTATCGTGCATTGCTTTAAAAGAAAAAGAGTCGATAAGACGAAGAGTCGATATTCTTCGAAATACATAGAGAGGCTTTTCCACTAAAACTCAAAGACTAAATATGGTGTAATTTTCATTTTCTCATGCAAAAATGTCTCGTTTTGTATTAAACTTAGTTTACTCCTACTGATGGCTCTCATTAACTTAAACTTCTTTATCCTTATCTTCACTTAACGATACTTAAATGGAACGTTTTGCCAAATGTACTTTATAAAAAGCACATTATATCACCTGCCAATCTATGGTTTTCATCCGTTACATCACCAGTAAAAATTTCAATAAAAAATTTATAACAGAATGTAAAATTCCATTATAAATTTAACACCACATATAGGCAATCTAAAACTCATATCACTATTCTGAAATTAGCTTAGCACCAAAAATATAAGGCTTTAGTTTATTGCTTTATGACATGATGGTTTAACAGATGTATATTATGAAAGTATTGCACCACCCAACAGGCCTAAGAACAAGTAATTCAGTACTTGGAATAGAACTGATAACGGAAATGCTTCAATAACAAGTTTCTTTAAATATTCTCATTTTATTTGTATATAGTTTGTACCTACCTGTCAGCAACAACAGCCGGCAAAAGACGTCCGTTATAATGTCCATTCTAAACTTACCTTCAATACCTTATTATTATGAATATTAGGAAAACGATGTCTATCGCTATTGTAAAAGTTGTAGTGTCCTGATCTATGGAGGCAAACACTATTCTTACTTCATAAACTATACGAGCTGTATTTGACAGCTGACAACTGTCATGATAAAGACATTCGTGAATTGCATGTGCTTTCTGTATTAAGGCATTTAATTTTTTCGTATGTATTGTCCATTCAATGAAGGATTAGCTTTGAATGGCCCCTCTGCCATATGTTCAAGCTGACGTAATACATTGCATATGTAAAATAATGTTCAATTATTCTCTTCTCACAGAGAACAATCAGTTACCTCAATTGAGTGCATTGATCTCTTTGAATGATAAGTCTCTTGGTGTTAAAGAAATCAACACAATGTCATTGATAAATTTAT